TGCGGTTGTGTGAGTTGTGATTGTTATACCGTGGGAAACTGTTTCGCAGCCGATTTCCACGACGACGACGACGGCTGGCTGCCTGGCCTGACTTCTTCTGATTGTGCATGCTTGGGGTCTTTGGCTGTCCGTCCCGCCGTCCGCCTGGCCTGGTCTGACGGCCCGCCTTAAGAGCTCTGACTGTGGCAGAGCGGCAGCCAAGCGAGCACATGCCTTCCATCCATAACAAGATGTTTGCATTTCAATTCATTTGTATGTGGCCGGGTATTTGGACTCGAGCTCAGAGCTCTCTGCTGGTGCTGGTTCGTCGTGGGTCTTGTCTTGGCTGCAGCTTGCCATGTGCCTTCGCCTTCGCCTTCACCCTTGCAGTAGCTTATGGCACGCTGATAATTGTGGAATCGTCATCGCGCAGCAGTTTTTTGTTGTTGCTTTGTTTTGTTTTTGTTTTTGTATGTATTTTTTTTTAACGCTTTATGGATCATTGATTGGGATCGTGGGCTTCGTGGGCCAAGCATTACGCTTTTCGTTTACATGATTATTCTTGATTGCCCATTGCGACGACCACTGCACGGGCTTTGGGATCTGTTGGTGTGTGTGTGTTTTTGTTGTTTTGGATTTTTGGTTCGGGTACGGCTTATGGCTCGGACTACTTCTACCATTTGTAGACAATTACCGGCTTGACTGGGCAGGCAAGAGGCAAAGCATTTTGTGCGACGTGTGCGCGAAAGTCAGTTTGTTGTTGTGGTTGTAGTTGTTGTTGTTGTTGTTGTTGTTAGCACACGCTATAAATGCTGTTGTTATGAGCGGCAGTATGTGGCTCGTGGGGTGTTTAAGGCTTTTGTCACGTCACGAGTGATTTGAACTTTTTAGCACATATTTATATTTAGCACGGCTTTAATCTGTGATTCATTCACTATTCACTATTATAGCGCAGATATACATATGTATGCATTCATCATATCTCCATTTCAGATATTTATAGCAATCTTTGACGCACACACAGCTCGAATTTCACAACACTTAATTAGAAGTGCCGAACCGACGAAATTACATTGAATATGACAACACAAGTGGCGCATCATCAGCGCCAGACAAAAAAAAAATCAAAAAGCCAACAACAAAAACAGCTACAGCTACAGCAGCAGCAACAACAACAATAAACGGAGCACAAGACAAATTAAGTTGGCGTTTTGTACGCATTTCAAATGAGCTACAGTTAACAAATGTTAACAGCATCATCTTCATTTTGTCCGACTGCCGTTGTTATTGTAAGTAGTTGTTGTTGTTATTGTTGGACCGTTAAGTGAGGCGCGCGCGTCGCTGTCAAAAAGCTGCCTGCTCCGGAAATGGCTAATTGGATTGAGAGTGAAAAGTGTGTGATTGTTAGTGTTGTAAAACATGAAGTCGGTTTAAAGGAATAGTGGTCGCAATTGGGTTCGAATTCATGAGGGTTGCTTGCCCTTGAGCTGCTATATAACAAGAATATTAGATCTGTCATGTCCCAAATTAATAATATGCGTGCGTTCATAATAGCATATATCATAAATCAAATGTATCTGAACTATCTAGAAAAACTACATTTTTATTCTAAGCACACTTTATTTCAAGTGGCTCTGTATTTGGATAGGCTTCAAATATACCATAGTCCATGTATTAATTTTTTTTTAACCTTTCGCCAAAGTCATAAGAAACAAAATTTATTTTTTATTGTGATTAATCATGATAATACGCTTTTCGTTAAACAAATCGAGTTTCTTAATAAATTTCAATGGGAATCGCCAATTCAATAAATTGTATTGTGCTAATTTATTTTTAAGTATGTATTAAATATGCAATATTGCTTGAGGATCTCAGCAGTGCGAGAAACAACAGAAATTTATAAGTTTTCTTTAAATAAATTAAACAATTATTATTTATATACATTAGATATATGTTATATATATATATATATATATATATGTATACCAAAAATAATTTAAATCACAATCAGCTGAGTTATTCCAATCGAATTCGTTGTTTCCTATTTTTGTCCCGTATAATAATAACAATTACAAAAAAATAACGTTTCTTTTAGCTATATACATATATCAATTAACAGCCATAATTAGCATAAGTCTCTGGAGGGACTTCAATTTTTATTGCTGCCTAGCCCAGGGGTCTAATTACATTTCGAATGACTCATACGCATTGTGTGCCCATGCAATTTTACAATCTGCCCAGCTAAAATGCGTAGCGCATTCCTTACAGTCGCCCAAAACCAACTTAACTACCCACACACATATACACACGCACACACTCAAACTCACTCATACATTAATTCTCGGCAAAAGCACAACGAAGACCTCATTTCTCCCGCTTTGGTCGTTTTTAAAGCATTTTTTTTTTATTTTTATATTTGTAAAACAATTTTTATTTTTTTTTATCGATGGCATACGCACGCGCGAATTTTAGTGCCCCCGCTGCGCCGGCGACCAACTTTGGGCCAACAACAACAGCACGAGAGCGTGCACAGGCACAGGCACAGGCCCAAGCCCAGAGACCAAGCCGGGCAGCAACAACTATAGCGTGTTGTTGAATTAATTTATATCCAACAGTGCGCTTTCAACTTTATTGCGCCGCGAAAAGCAGCCACAGCCAGAGCCAGAGCCACAGTAAGAGCAGAGCCAGCAGCGTCAGCAATGTGTTCAGCGCCCCCCTGGAGACCGCCCCGACACCGTCAGCTCCATAACGCCGCCAGCAACCCACACAGAGACAGAGACGGCAACCCATCCATACCGACAAAAGGCACACTGCGGAGCAGTGGGGCAGACACTGGCGCACACAGATACTCGACAAGGCACACACACATGCGCAGTGCCAGACCGTGGGAAACAAACTCGTGCCAGTCGTTTCATTGCTGTCAAATAATATCTTGATGGGGATCAACTTGAAAAGATTGGTTGGGGCTGGCTCGTTGCCGCTGCTGTTGCCCCATGTTGTTGTTGTTGCTTTTGTTGTTGCTGTTGTTTGGCGAGTCGTTGCTGGCCGCTGTTTAGGATGCGGTCGACGCTTTTGTTTTTTGTAGGTCTCTTTTTAGTCTTTTTAATACTTTACACATTTGTTCGTCATACCCCAACCGCTGAGTGTGTGTATGTGTGTGTAGCTATAGCCATGGTCGCAACTCGGCTTGAAAACCAGTTTGCCATCCGCCAAAGCGAGGCTGCGTCTGCGTCTGTGTCTGTGGCTGCTGGCTGCTGTGGATGCCAGCACATACTCGCTAAGATCACATAAAAGACCCGGCACGCCCCACACACTGCCCGCCCCACCGCCTGACCTGGCGAACAGCCACAACTTTCGGTCAGCTCAGTTCGTGAATGGTGGCTGTGGCTCGCTTTTATGCTGCACTGTTTGCGCTGTGTGTATACACACATGCGAGCACTTGGCACGTTGCCCATTATCTTGAGAACGCTGCAGGCTTCAGTTACTCAAGTGCACATATCATATTACCACAGGGCCTGAGACCAGACCAACACAATATGAAAGGGCTTACAGCCAACTGCACCCCCAAGGGCTGAAGTATAAGCTGTCAATGGTCTTCCCCCCAGCAGTAAATGACACATGCAGGCGCTTCAGTCTCAACTCTTCTCTCTGATAAACATTGTCAGCATGTCTTGACGGGAGGGCTGCCCAGGCATTTCACACAGTGAATCCATTAGCTGCAACGATAACATAAACAGAGGCCCAGACAAAACCCCCCTGGCTGGTATCTAATGTCATTAAATATAAGAAAGGAAAAGTATCTTCAAGATACGCGCCTATTGGAACATTAATCCCAATCGAATGCTAGCGCACTTCACACACACTTTTGAGTCGCACTCAACTTATAGATAGTCCCTCTGCCCCCTTTGCATTAAGTGCGTTTCACACACACGCAAAGAAAAAGAAAAATTAATTAAAATATCTATAAGATTTCACAAGGGAGCGTGAGCGTCAAATAAGGGCGCATTTATATTGAAATCGAAGACAAGTGGCAGCCACATTTATTGCTGCAGGGTTCAGGTTCGGGGTGCTAGTTCGAGTTCGAGTTCCACCACAAAAAATCCGTGTGGGAAAGTTGAAAATCAAAAACGGCATAACAAGTGATTTGAAATGCCCATACAAATATAAATAGCAGGACGAATGTTGTGGCAATGCGTGGGAATGCAGGATTTATTTTTTTCCCAATTTTGGTTCTGGTATCCCCTGGGTACAGCCTTTATGTTGATTGCCCATTAGGACAACAATTTGCACTCCTTTTAACCGTATGATCCCATGCACAAATATTGGCCACCGCTTTCTGTATGTGTGCACATCGAGTCCTGTCTTCCTTCGAGTCGTGAGAAATTTTACGAAGGAACACCTGCCTGTTGTTATTCAGTTCGATGCCAGAGCCACTTGAATACATTTCCTTAAAATTTTAGGGTACCGAAAAATTGTTTCCCACACTTCGTATAGCCGAACAGTTGCACTTTTTTTTCTTCTCTTTTTTCCTTAGAGCTGTATGGACCGGGGGTACATTTATGTTTCCTTAGCGGCTCACTCGCTCCACTCTCGATTCCCAACTACCGACTTCCTACACACAGAGAAACAGGCTCGTCTCTGGCTACCTGCTGCCCTTACCAGAGCCTCGCAGCGGCTTCAAATTTCAGGTTCTTGCTCGCTCACCAGCTAACCAACCATCTTATCTCTCTTGCCACGGCCGTTTTTCAATGAGGGTGAGGTGCGTACCACGTACGCGTGTCTGTCGGAGGGTCTTTCTGCGTTTCCTTAACTGTGTCTCTCTCCCTTTGTGTGTGTGTGTGTGCGGCCACAGGAAATGCATTTTGTTTGGCTGCGCTGCCGCTGTGCGGAGTGGAGCGGAGCGTTCAGACAGCTATAAAAGCGGTTGCCTTTCGGTTGGAAAATCATTCTGACATCGTCAGCGTTTCAAGCAACACACAGCACATCCAACACACACACGCTTTTCCATTTCATATTCAAAAATGTGCCAACAAGTCGCTATCAGCAACAACGACAATAACAACAACAAAATGAAGAACAGCTACAGCATTAAGCAAGTCCTGAAGACGTTCTTCAAGAAGCAGCAAAAGCAACAACAACAGAAACAGCACCGTCAGAACTCATTGGAATCGCTCGAATCGGTGGACAATCTGCGCAATGCCGAGGTCGAGGAAGTCTACTATGCCGAAATCGACGAGAATGCAGCCAACGAGAAGCTCGCCCAATTGGTGCAACACCAAGAGCAAGAGCTTGACACCGAGGAGGACATCTATGTGCCCGTACGCTTTGCACGCACCGAGGCCGGCACCTTCTTCTGGACTACCAATCTGCAGCCGGTTGCCAGCGTCGATGCTGATCTGCTGCAGCCCGCCTACTGCTACTCCAGCCAACAGCATCCGTTCATGCAGTACCAGGATCGTTGGGCACAGGCTTAAGTCCAATCTCAAGCCCAATCTTCAAACATCAACAAGCTTTAAATGCATACAACATTGTGATAGCAGTAGCAGCAGCAGCAGCAGCAGCAGCAGTACTTAATCTTAACTCAAACTCAACTCAGCGATCCCAGCGCTTCCATTAGTTCTTAAGACATTGTGATAGAAAATGAGAGCTTTAAAAACAATAACTATAACAAAAAGATATTTTACAAAATACAAAAAAAGATATCAAAAACTCAAATTACATTGGCTTCTAATTGGTTTTGGTTTTGGGTTTCAGTTTTATGATCAAAGCAGATCTTAAAAATATTTATGCACATCCTTTATGCATCTTAGGCATTGTTATGACGTCTGGCATTCTATTCAATTGAGTAGCTGGTACAACATGTTTACGATATGAGATTTTGTTTATGTTCTGCTCATAAAATGTCACTCGTCTACGTGACAGATAAGATACATATTTTTGGATACGATGCGCTGTTTCAAGACACATTTTGTGGAAAGTTTCGGTTTTCTTCGACATGTGACGTCAATGAAGTTATGCGGCATGATGATATAGAGTCATGTATCTGTAATTGTTGTTGTTACTAAAACGAAGACAATTGATTCTCGTGTGCTGAGTGGGAATTCTAATTTTGGAATTCGTTGATAAATTACAGCTGAAGCTACTTCTGGAATGTATATGAAATTGATTTAAATTTATAAAATGAGACTAGAAATAATGGGTCTAAATAATATGGAAAAATTGTTTAATGTATATAAATAAAGCATGGAAAATTGAGGTGTAAAGAATGCAAAAGAAAATCATAAAATAGAATGAAAGGAAAAAAATAGAAGCTAATACTAAAGTATAGTATATCAATCAAATTTAAATAAAACTAGCTTGCAGGCTTATAGTTAAAATAGGACCATACATAGTTCAAAGACTTAAAAGAGGTGTTTTAAACTTTTTTAAGAATATTTTATTGAAAAAAACATTATTTATTATAATATCTGCAAGAAAATTCGCATTATCTTGCTGAATAACTGAAATTTCGTACCTGGAAAAACTCAAATTGATTTTGAATATACCAGATTAAAAAATGAAATATACTAAGTATCTTTTGCCTTTGAAATTGGAAATTTATTACTAAAAAAAAATTGCAATTACTTGTGATAATGGATCAGATTTAAAAACACAAATGAATATATGTCACATGAGTTCATCGAATTAAAATTCCTCTGTAATACTCGCACTCTCTCATAAGTCGACCTTGTCTTGAGCTGCCTTAACCCACTCTCCTAAGTGCATTCTGCAGCACGCATTCCTTACCTTTGGTTAGGTCGGCAACCTGCCAATATGAGATATTCCCACTCCAGCTGCATTGCTATCATATCATTGCAATTGTCACTTGCCTTGGCTAAGGCCACCGCCACCTGTGTGCCCCAATATGGAGATGGCGTGCATAACTTCACGGCAATTCCTTGGACGGGCTTGTCGCCGCGCGTCGTACAACTTATTTATGCTCTTTTCTAGAAAGAAGAAAGAACCTTAAGTCAGCAGGAGAAGGCGTTGGTGAGCAGGGAGTAAAGGAAAAAACCCATATCAAAAGCAACAATTAAAATGCAACATGTAGACGTCAACACCTTCCAGTCACGGGCCAGTCACTGTCCGAGCCACAGTCACAGAATACACGCAACAGTCACATGCCAAGGCGTTTCGAGGCGGACGTTGAAATTGGGCATAAAAACAGTACCGCAAAAGATAATCGTTCCCATCCAATCTGATACCCCCTCTCGCTCTTTCGCTCTATTAATCACTAACGCATTTCTCCTACACTAAAAATGCAAATTGATGTCAAAAAAAAAAAGACGTAGAAAATAAAAAGGCATAAAATTCTGGTAGCGCCGTGACGTAAATTAAGTAGCTAAATAAGTTTCTGTTAAATTGGCTCCGACAGCGCATAATTAATTTCGTATGCGCAGCGGCAAAGAATTGGAAGAAAGAACCATCGTGGAATGCCGTTGTTGATATTGATAATGCTTATGATGATTGCCAACGCTGCGATAGCCATCTCTCAGCCTGTATACTGCCTGCCCCCCCCCCCCCCTCTCTCTCTCTCTCTCACTCTCTATTCATTTGAATTTACAACCCAGCGCTAGTGCGTTTGCATATGTGCCCACTGTGCGCCGCTGTGTCTCTGACTGATACCGAGACTGACAACTGGGAACTGAGGACAGGCACAGGTACTGTGTACCCATGTGGTGTGTGCTGTGTGTGCTGGGGTTTAATGTACGCCTCTGTGCCCAATTCTGAAAAAACTAACCACAGCGACAGCCGAGCGGCGGCCTTCGCGTGCGTGACCGGCATGCGCTTAGCGGTCATTGATTGGCCAACAGCAGCAGCAGCAGCGGCGCTGGCAGCGACGGCGGCAGTAGAAACAATGTTGGCCAGTTCTTCGACCATGTCTATGCTCGACCAGCCTGTTGGCTAAGGGCGCCGCGAGCAACAAGTGTGTGAACACATTAAACGGTGATTAGGCCCGGGTCTGCGACTGTGGCTGACTCTGACTCTGACACTTGAATTTGGCCTGCTCTGTGGTTGTTGTTGCCATTGTCTTGGTTTTATCCAAGCACTTTGTGTGTGGCGGTTGTTGGCTCAAATTAGCCCGCTGCAATGTTACCATTAAATTTATGGAGGAGAATGTGGGCAGCCGGAATATACAAAATATAATTACTGACAAAACTATGCGAAAGGGCAGTCTACCATTAAAACTAAAAATAAATATGATATTAACCACGCAAACACACATATATTAAGTGTTGATAACTTTATGATGTACCGAATATTATAAAAAGTCACTTGAGTAATTATTATCTCAAAACCAAACATTTTAATAATATTAATCTGATTATTATAATTATTAATATAATGATTATATAATGATTATTATTTATATAATTATGATTTTTATTAACACTATGGATATTATAGTAAGTTAGTGGAATTATTGTTAACTCTATTATTAAAATTTTTTTATTATTATTATTATTACTATTAGTATTATTGGTATTTTTATAATAATTATTGTTATTCTTATTCGTATTCTTATTAGTATTATTAAAATAATTACTTTTAGTAGAATCATATTTTATTTATTTTTTTATATTATTATTGTTATTAATATAACTGTTACAATTTTAAGTATATTCTTAATTTTAATATTATTTTTAGAAGTATTATTAATTATTTTCTTAATATTTTTATTTGGAATTAGGTTACCTGCTTTTCTTTGTATTATTTATATAATGATATCTTGTGCTTCAATTAAAATACAGTTTATCACTTTTTTTCTCTAATACATTTCGTCAAAATAAATATTTTAATTTTTAATATTAATTGATTATTTTTATCTATATTATTATTATTATTTATAATTATATTATACAAATATAATATTCAGAAAATCAAGCTTTTAATTAAATGTCTTGTTATATTTCTGAACACGTTCTAATTATGATTTTATCTATCCTTCGAATCTCAATTTATTTTAACGAAGCATACTTTAGAGCGTAATTTGTATTGACATCAGATTGTATACGGTGTCTTTAGTCTGTCTTTACTTAGATCAATTAATTGTTGTCGTTCCTGTTTTAATAGGTAATAATTTAACCAACAACTTAAAGACTAGCCAAACGCGTTACTGGCTCCAGGGAAATTTCACCTCTAGGATGCTTAGATGAGTATAGTTAAACGGGTTTAAAAAAAACATAAGCTCTCAAGATTCAATGGTGATTGGTCATGGCTTGTGCATAACCTTGATTAAGCGACTGCGCTGAGCCAACTGTGCTGAGCCAACTGTGCTGAGCCAACTAGCAGCAACAATAACTTTCATTAAATTTACTCTACTCAGTGGCTACTATTCATAGAGAACGCATCATTCAAAGCCTATGGTACTCTGGTGACTCGGCGTCTACTTCGCTATGCTACTTTCGCTATTATAATTTTGCCATGAAATGTGTAACGCATAGAAGGAGGCATCTCTGAAGCAATAAAGTAGAAGAATATGTACTAGATCAATATCAACAGCCAAGTCATGTCGGTCTGTCCGCCTGTCTGTCTATATGTCTGTTCCTAGGCAAACTAGTCTCTCAGTCTTAAATCTATCGTCTTGAAACTTAGCAAAGGTTCGGAACCGGCCGGATCGAACCGATTGTACTTTCAATACAAACAATCAGTCAAAAGGTAGGTTCTTGTACGGAAATGTTGCATTTAAATGTTTCACGATGTTCCTTACACATATATATATATATATCTAGCTGCCATAGGAACGATCGGTCCAAAAGTAGGTTACTCTTTGAAAAACCTTTTTGTTTATCAGGATATCTTGTCCATCCCCAACATTTAAAATTTTAAATGTGCAGGTTATATATTATATATTATATATTATGTATTATATATTATATATTATATATTATATATTATATATTATATATTATATATTATATATTATATATTATATATTATATATTATATATTATATATTATATATTATATATTATATATTATATATTATATATTATATATTATATATTATATATTATATATTATATATTATATATTATATATTATATATTATTATATATTATTATTTATACCACTTATTATATATATTCTGTTTTTTAAGATACCTTGATCAACTTCTGCATTTCACTATTCGCAAAAGCATATGGCAATGACTACACGAGTATTAAATGTTCGGAGTGTCAAAGATATACTAACTTTCGCGCTTTGCAGACGTAATTTGCAATATTTAGGGAATGCCAATTACAATTCATAGGTCTAAAAACGGGTCGTTGTACATTATTCTACTTAATTAATGCGGTTTTTTTTTGGGATACTCCCAGCATTGTATGTGTTTTATCTTTTAATTAACTAAAAGTTTCTGATGCTCCAACTCCCAAGAAGTTCTGGCAAAACTTGTAACAACAACTGATTAGTTCCAATGAAAATATGTATATCTGTTCCGAATAAAATGTGTTTTGTTTACATAAACAACGCAGATTCCCAAGAAGAGCACTTTGTCGCCAAAAAAAATAAATGACAAACAAATGCATTGATGACATCGCATAAATTTTAGTGGCAACATCTATTCAATGTGTTTATTGCGAATGGTTCCCCGAAGTTATCGCCGAAAAAACAAAAAAAACTTAATTGTTGTTTCGATCAGATAAACAAGATACCAACTGACAACAGCACAGTAAAGATGTTCATTCTTATTGATTGCTGATAGACTGATGGCTGATGGCATGAGGCCGACAGGACCGTCAATACACGTCAATTAGAGCATACAAAAAATGTTACTCATCACGGTCATGGTTCGAGCCAGAACTTTGTAGACCAAAATAAACACGTTTCTTGTTGCGCGCGCGCTTCGATAGCGTTTGCGATTGTGTTATCAGCTGGCGCGTTGGCTGATAAGAGTGTCAGTAGCTGCTGGAATGGCCGCAATATATATATAAATCAATGAATTTCCAAACAGTCACAGCAATTGTAAGCAATAGCTACCAAATAGCACACGTAGTCCACAAGCTAAACAAATATATAACGAAAAATATATTTAAACAAAAAAGAAAAACAACAGAACTTCCCAAGAAACTGAAAGTTCATAAAATGAAATCACAAACTTTGTCACTCTGCCTCTGCCTGGCGCTGCTGTCCGGCATTGCAGCCAACACGGTGTCCAACAACCAGACGGATTGTCCACAGATGTGTCCTGCCATCTATCAGCCGGTTTGTGGCTCGGATGGCTTCAATCTCAAGGAATTCGCCAGCGCTTGCAATCTGCAGGCCAGCAACTGTCGCCGCGAACGCAATGCCCTGACGAGTAAGTAAACAAATCGATTCCCAGATCATGCTCTATATTTATAACGTTCTTTCGTTCAGCCTTTGCCCAGACGGACATGGCCTGGTGCCGCTCACAGGAGGTTGAGGATATTCACAAACTGTTGAATGTCAAGCTAGACGTACCGAGCTGTCTTAAGCCCTGTGCCATGATTTACAAGCCTATCTGTGTGACCAACGGCAAGTACCGTGGTCTCGTGCCCAACGAGTGCACTTTTGAGACCTTCAACTGCGCCCTTAATTTTGCCGGCGTCGCACCCGCAGGGCTGTTGCGCATTCTGAAAGCCGACACCTGTTAAACTGTCAGGATAAAACTGGAGTACATGTCCTTTGCACACAAGAGTTGCTTATTTGCAAAAATATATATATTGAACTAACAATTTGAAAACTACTATGAATGACATAAATCGATGGGGTACTCAAAAGGGGCAAATATGGAGATGGGCAAATCATTGAAAAATAAATAATAAATAATGGTCACAGAACTCTTGCACCGGGTGAAGAATGCTTAATGTGGTCCTTATTCAAATAAATGTTGAATTACTTTTAGGCTCTACCTCTCCAAGCTCAAGTCAATTTCGGGATAGTTGCCAATAGCATAAAATAATTCACATGATTTCTATAGGAAATATAACTTGATGATAAAATTAGAATATATATTTTGAGGGTCAAACTCAAGACTAATTGATTTTAATTGTGATCGTATTAGATGATTTTAAGAGTTTTATTTGAACATTTTGTAGGTCATCAAACATTGCAATAAAACATCTAGATATCGGGTTCTTATCAATGGATAATTTGAGAGATCGATCAAGCATGTTCTTTTATGAGCTTACGGAAGTAATAAATAGATATTATTATCAAATATGAGCTAAAGCTCTAAAGCCTCTAGTTCCTACACATTTTAAGAGCTTTTATATATAAGTATATGTATGAGTATGTATGAGCCATAGGACATAATATATAGATATTGGGTTGTATATAAACACGGTTGCTTGACTAATAAGTATATATATCTTGCACATATCATATGTATGTCTGTTAGTTATAATTAATTTAATAATTAATGGGTAAGTCCCAACCCTTACAAGCTGCATACATATAGTTTCAAGACTCTATCATGACATCGATACAAATCGATATCGACATCCTGGATTTTGAGCAATTTTGGTAAATAACTAGAGCTAGATTAGACATGTAGCTTCTAGAATAGTAAATATATTTGCATTTGGTGTTGGGAGAAGAGGGTTCAGGGTATCCCCTAGTCGGGAGCTCCCGACTAGAACCTCTTACTTGTTTTTTTTAAATATCATGAAATTTGTTCATCCAATAACCCGAAATATTAATGTACCCCCCGAGTAGTAGAATCTGCGTCTATAATATGTACATAACAGCTGTTCGAAATTCGCAGTATGCATGTATTTTAATAGTTTTTCATTTATTTGCAAATTGATATCACATTGACAAAGTAAATATTGCGCAAGGAAATAAATAATTGTGTGAACAAATAACTAATAAGAATTTGGGGTGCACAATGCTTGGCCTCAGGTGTGTGTTGATGCTTGAGTCATGCTGAGTTCCAGTCACGAACACCCCAAAATGAGATCTGTTATCGGTTTTGCAAGGGGCAACAACACTTGAGACTCAGGGCTAACAAAGTGTGCCGGGCAATTGGCTAAAGCTTTGACAGAGCCAGGCGTGCAGCAGGTCATCGTCGACGCGCTCCTGGGTGTTGGCCCAGAAGAAGGTGCCGTTGTCGGTGCTAATGTACTGTAGCGGCAGCTGCAGGTCCCACAGCGTGGGCGTTGACGTGGGCGTGGACTGGGCCACTAAATTTTCTGTTGGGTTGTGACTATTGTTGTTGCTACTGCTGCTGGTGGTGGTGTGATGCGTGTGCTGACAGTTGCGCCCATGCTGGCAGGCATTGCAGCTCTGTGTGCTGGCCTTCTCCACATAGACGCTGCTGATCAGCGTAGGCGTATTGGGCGGTGGTGGTGTCTGTGTTAGCTCCTCGTGCACCTGCTGCAGGCGCAGCTCGGCGAACTTGTTGATAGACTCATCGGGCGTTATTTTGCTGTCGTTGTCATCTGCGTGCAGCAGCTCCAGCGGCGGCAGCATTTGTGTATTGTTGAGATCCACATTGTTGGGATGGGGCTGAGACGCGGGCCTGCCCTTACCGCCCACTGTCAGCAGTCGTCGCAGCGGCTGCCAAACTTTGCGCATGCGTCGCCCCGTTTTGGGCGCCGTTAAAACTGTTGTTGCTGTTGTGTTATTGTTGCTGCTGCCAGCTGTCAAGTTTTTTGTATCCAGATACATGACGATAGCTATGTGGCAGCTTTCGGCTCGTTCAAGTTGGTTGATTTAGCAGCGAGCGTTGCGTGTGCGCACCTCGCGAGAGTCGTTCGTTTTCTGATGCTGCTGCGCCATCCGGCGCTCATATTTATATATGAGGCGCTGCCGCAGCGCTGCCAATGGCCAGTCAAGAGTGAAATCGTATGCCGGCTGATCTCACGAGCCCAGGCCAAGCACCGAGCACCGTACGAAATTTGAGTGCACTCTCATGCAGACACAACCACAACTATACAGGCACACACACACACACACACACACGCACATATGCAGACACTTATTCCCATCGATGATGATGAGGGAGAGGGAGCTGCTTTTTATGTGCGCGTATTTCCCAAATAAATTCCAACAGGAATCCACAAGCTTGTGTGTACTTTTCCCATGCACGTACAATCGACAAGGGCCGCTTGATGAGTTTTGGCTGCAGGTAGATGAAGACGACGCCGGCTGCACCGTGGTGCACTGTTGCAAAAAATCAAACGAATATTGTTTATTCTTTAATAAACTGATTGGATTTCAATAGAGTTCAACTTTACCGTAAAAGTTAAACAAAATTCGAATAAAATATGCTTATAGAGATATATAATCTTTTCTTATGATAGTAATTATGCAAATTAAAATGCAAAAAAAAAGACTTAATAAAGTAAAATATTTTGAATTGGAATTAAAAATAAAGTAAACCATAAAAATTGCTTAGAAACTAGGTGTGTTCTAATATAAATTCTATAATAATCGCCTTAACGTAATAAAAAATTGCTTGCATGGTCTGCTAAAATGTTTATTGTTAGTTAAATTCATTACCATAAGAATGAAATACAAGCATGAGCTATATAAACATAGGGATAAGTTCTTAAGTACATGGAGGTTTCTTTTAATAATGAGAGAACAGGGAAATAAAATTAGGAATAAAGAAACAAACTAATGAAGTTAATACCACAAAAAATGAATACATATATTTTGCTTTCATCAAATCATTTGCCTCAAGATACTGTTAAGTATAAGAAATGTGCGTTTGAGACGCGCTTCCTGTCTGAATATTAAATTACAAATACTTACCTGAAAAAAGTGCACCTAATTGTGCACATTAAATTGTTTTGGAACCACTGTGCATCGCCTGTTCCGTCATTTATGCACGACTGACTTTGTTTTCACATTCACACGGTACCCGAAGCCGGGGCCAGAGCCAGGGCCCACTAGTTGTTGCTGGTTGCTGCTTGTCCAGCTGAAACCGATTGGGCGCAGTGACGTAGCCATTTTGCTTGCACAGTCCTCACTGGGGGCAGCAGCTGCACCTGTTCCATTGTGGCCCCTGTAAACTAAGACGCTGTGCATTTCCGTCCTGGCGCAGGCGGCGCACCGTTGCGAGTGTGGGAAAGGGCTTATAAGAATTTCACTTGGGTTGTTCGGGTTTTTGGGTTTTCGGGCACTATTGTTGTTGTTGTTATTATTTTTGTTTCCTTTCTTGTGATTTTTTGGTGTCTTGTTGTTGCTTCTTCTGCTGCTGTTGATGTTGTCGAGAGCAGCTGTTATTGCTACTTGTTCGCCTGTTTGTTGTCATTTATAATCAAGGCTCTGAGCCCCGGCGCTGATAAGTTCATTTTATGAGCTCGTCGATCCTAGCCGTAGGGATTATAGCATGTTGTTCACACGCTCCGCACAAAGGCAGATCTAATGAGGCCGTGACCTGATTCCACAACAGTCCTTTGCTCTTTCCCACACAAAAACCAGCGCCGGGCCCATTCTCGAAAACTAGTCGGCCCAGTCAGCCTGGCCGTAGAGCGAAACAGAGCCTGGCCCGTTCGACTGGCTGGCCGGGGGCCAAATGCAACAAACTCGTGCCAATCGCGTGTACACCGCACGCCTGTAGCTTGTGAGCCACCGTCTCTATCGCTTTGGTCGCCATTAATCTTGAACTCTCCGCAGCACGTCGACGACGACTACGACGACGACGGCATCGTTGCCCCGCACATTTGCCCCCAATCAGCGCCTAGCTTTGAACTGCACGTTTGCTAAATTGAAAGCGACTTTGACTCCATCTCTGACTATGACTGCAACTGCAACAGCAACTAAGATGCTCTTGTGGCAGCTCCAGCTCCAACAGCGCCTCTGTCTCTAGCCGGGCTGCGCATGCGCCTGCCTTAACGCCTTATTGGTGGACAGATGGGACAGACTAATGCCAAGTTGGTGTCTTTGCTATGATATACCCTTTCTTTGGCTGATGTATGCATATTGTCTGCTTTCGTGTGTTTATTCTAGAAAGCATTATCAATAAAATATTCATTTAAATAAAAAAAAAGGTGAGCAAGTGAAAACTTTACGAGTTTTATATCAAATATTGATTCTTTGGAGATGTATCAGTACTATTTCTAAATAACTGTTTTTGTTTGGCTTCATAAAAAAAGCTCATACTTCTTAATAAAGTTGTTGTGAGCTTTAATCTATGTACGCAATATATTAACTCTGGGTAAAAGCTATTAATTGTAATAATATTTAAAAATAGTATTGATAAGCTTGTAAACAGTGTTGTAAATTATTTTATGTTCACGGTCAAATTAAAAAAAAATGCAGTATGATGATTTTTAGAGCTAGAAATACACTTTTTTTTTAACCAGAAAATTGTAAATACTAAGGAATTTTAAGAAAATGTTAGTGCCTCATAAAATAATAAAAAAATGTTCTGAATAGGGCTTAGAACCGATAAGCCTCAAGCCTTTACATACAATTTGTTAGGCAATTTATAAAAGTTGTTAAAATGTTCTGGCAGAGTATTTAAGTTTCGAGCTTATGTTTTTTGCAATTTCAGACTTTTGAGCCACAACTCTTTATTTGGCTTTTGGCTTTTGGTTCACACGGCAGGCGACCAAAGCAGCAATGCGGCAACCAGGCAACGAGGCAACAAGTTTTGCGCAAAGTTAGCGCAAAGCTTAAAAATATATATGACAAGCAATTAGTGTGCATTGAGGTTAGTTGAAAATGGTTTTTGGTTGTGGCTTGTGGCTGTTGTGATTCGTTGTATGCATGTGTGTATGTGTGTTTGTGCTTTACATGCGCCGTGTGATCGGATGCAACTGCGTTACTCATACGACACGTGTGACAACAAAGTTGAAAGTTAACTCAGCTTGTAAGCTGACGCTGCTGTTATTGTTGTAACTGTTGTTGCTGTTATTATTGTTGCTACTGTTCGAAGTCAGCAGAAAACTAAAAGGCCAAGCCAGCAACCACAAACAACGGCTAACGGAAGTCATGGGCAAAAGACAAACAAACAAACCAGAGATTCTGCAGCATCATGGGAACTGCTTGGGCTGGCAAAAAAACAAAAAAAGTACAAGTGTCATATTGCTGTGATGGCGATAAATAAAAAACAGGCAACATTTTATACACATAGTGTCAGGGCTGCCCGGCTGTCCAGCTGTCCAGCTGGCAGCTGCCCAGTCGCTGTAGCCGAGATCAGCGAAAAGCTGGAATAAAGCATCATCTTAGAACGACAACCGGATGTTGAAGTTTATTGCGATGAAGTTTAAGCGACAACTTAAGCTATGCAAAAGTTTTGGGAGCCCCAATGCTGTAAGGAAAGCTGGAAACTGTTACGCTTAATCGATACGCTTCAACGAAATGCTAGCCACTCAATGTTGTTGTTATAGTTTGGTTGTTGTTTTTGTTGTCGTAGTTGTCGCAGTCATCATCATCAGCCAAGCATGCGACATAATTGCGCGAGTTAAAGCCCCCCAAACAAGCGGCAGCCACAACAACAACAGCAATCATCAGCAACAACCAGCAGCAGCAGCAGCACTAACAACAAAAACAACAACAACAACAACAAGCAGCAAAACATTTCAGCAATCCATCGGATCGCATCACAATCCAGCCATCCGTCCAACGTGTGGGAAACACACGACAAATCTGTTTCCCACGGTCTCGTAAAGTAGGCACAACACAACACACACTCTCAGCCGCCGTCGCAGTCGCAGTAGTAGTAGGCTCCCATTTGTGCATATGCATATGTGTGTGTGTAAGTGAGAGCACCAAAGAGCCCAATAGCCGCAGACGACGAATAGGAGCCGCCGCTGAAGCAGCAGCGCAACTGTCATCATTGACAATAAGTATGACATGGACGATGGCAACGGCGAAGGCGACGGCGACAGCAGCGGCAACATCGACGGCGCACTGAGAGCCACGCGCAGACCCATTCTCATTCCAAATCCAAAATCTAAAGCCCCGACTGCGACTCACTCGGCAATCCATTTTTGAAGACGACGACGCGCGCCTGAGCGCAACAAGGCACGCTCTCTCGCTCACGCTCATCCAAAGGCAGCAGATAAGCAGTGTTGTCGAGTCGCTCGATTTCGTAAACTGGCGCAATAATATGCCAAAGATCGCACAGTGGGCCAAGTGTTGAACATTTTGAAAAACGAATTAATAATTTTAATTTTGAAAAATTAATTAATAATAAATCAGGGTTGGGAAACAACATGTTTTGATGATGTTTAAGACTAGTAACAGTAGATCTATTAGAATTACCGCATTAATGGCTTTTTTATATATTCTAAAAATAGTACATAAAAAGTTTGGTTATGCATTTAACGGGAAATTAAAAATCTTTATTTTTTTATTTATTTATTTTATTTAAAAAACAGGTAAAAAATAAATGAATAAAGCTGTTCGTTGCATACTTTGAGGAACATTCAAATATTTAATTAGTAATAACACAATCGAATCTAGCTATTTTAAAGATTTAAAAAAAAAAAATATGTGAGATATACGAACCTTTTTTATTGATTTTAAATCCTTATCCAAATAATTACATTCTTATTCTATTCAGGTCTACTTTTATGTTATAAAAACACGCTCATAAAAGTATGCAGCGGATGTTTGGGAATGATATATTAATATATATATATATATATTTATGTCAAATTTATTTCTCGATTTCTCATAAATAAAGAAATAATTGAAATAATGTATTCCAATGCATATAAAGTATGATACCTTTGTAGAACGAAATAAATAAAACCACGCTAAGACCAATATTTTGTTAAGTAGAACGAAAAATATCAATATTTAAGTATTTATTTAGCTAACCAACTCAAATTTTCCAAATATAACTAGCACGTCTTTATTCAGCGACGACCCACTGTGCAGTTGATTGCCTGGCAACTTGGCAACCCCAGCCCCAACGTGTGCCTGCAACGGACTTCACAGTAGCCTCTCTTTGTGTGCGCTGCCGAGTGCCGCTACCGAGCCGAGACCGAAGGCACGAATGCCACCACAGCTCCGTATGTGTGTATGTGGATGTGTGTGCGAATGATCATGCGGGAGCTCAGGCCCAGTCGCTGCAGGGAGAGCGTCGTATAAAAGTAACGTTGGGAACTTGTTTGCCACTCATTTCATAAACGTGCCGCCTGTTGAACGGAACACAGAGCGCGACGCACGCGCAACCGCCCCAAAGAAAATACGATATCGACGTGAATATGTGCGTGTAGCCCGGTTCAAGCCAAAAATCAAAACTGTACCAGAAATAGTGAACGTGATTCGAATCACAACATGGTCATGGAGATGTCCAAGACCTATCAGTACCGGAAGGTGATGAAGCCGCTGTTGGAGCGCAAGCGCCGTGCGCGTATCAACAAGTGCCTCGATGATCTCAAGGATTTAATGGTGGAGTGCCTGCAACAGGAGGGCGAGCATGTCACGCGCCTCGAGAAGGCCGACATACTCGAGCTAACGGTGGATCATATGCGCAAACTCAAGCAACGCGGCGGCCTCTCGCTGCAGGCCGTCGGCACTGCTGGCGGCGGGAATGTAGCTGCCCCCAGCACCAGCGCCGCCCACGTCGAGTCCTTTCGCTCCGGTTATGTTCATGCTGCCGATCAGATTACACAAGTGCTGCTGCAGACGCAGCAAACCGATGAGATTGGCCGCAAGATTATGAAGTTTCTATCGACGCGACTAATTGAGCTGCAATCCCAATTGCTGCAGCAACAACAACAACAACAACAACAGCCCGCCGTCGGGTACGCCTCAGGACGCTTAGCCTTTCCGCTGCTGGGCGGTTACGGCGCCGCTGCCGCAGCCAGTTACAGCGCCTTCCTGGCGGGCAAGGACGAACTAATCGATGTGACATCCGTGGATGGCACGGCGCTATCCGAAACGGCGTCAGTTAGCTCGCAGGAGTCGGGCGCCTCGGAGCCCGTCTGGCGGCCCTGGTAATCAACTGGCTGCCTGCACTCCTGGCGACATCATCTAATTTCTAGATCTTATCTTTAGTATTCCAAATGGCTATTAACCGTTCGCTGCAGCCATTATCAGCAGCAGCAAACAACAACAGCAAAATCCGTTGTCTTCCAAAGCAAATTGTCGCATCAAATCGCATGATTTTGTTGCACTGTGCATTGTTTTTAAATACTTTTAAGTTTATTTTGATAATATTTGTAAATTTTGTATTTCAACTGTGATATAACTAAAGTACGTCGCGTTTCAATACACTTTGATTGCGCTGACCTCCTAATAATTTTGCTAATGTTTTCTAGAGTTAAATGCTTGCGATGTTCATAAATGAAAGCGTCTTATCAAATTAGCTAAATTAAGCTTTAAATAATTTATAAATGTTAAATTAGGAATTAAATATGAATAAACAAAAGTTCTCATATCAAAGACAACTAACATATTTATTTTTATTCACCAAACGCTTTTCAGCCTAATAAAAAGGATTTATTATTCCCATTAAATCCCAATTGGAATATTTTTAGCGAGTGTAAGCCGTTCATAATTTCATTAACTACTATTTTATTTTAAGCTCTCTTTATTTTGAAGAATTATTTACCATTTTTTAGTCACTTTAATTTATTTTATAATCCTATACATTTCTAATTATATAATAGTCACAGATTCGATAGATACGTTGAGAAAGCTGTATAAAACTGTTACATTTCTGAGTTCAAAGAAATACCCTTAGCAGAATATTAGAAACCTATATACTAAAATTATGAGATTATCTCCATAGATAACATTTTGCCTTGAAAGATTCGGAAGTTTAAAGCGTTTAATTTTTTGCTAAATAAAACCAAGAAAGGGCACATAATAAATAATATTAAAAATTCAAATTTATTTTACAAATTATTAAAATATTTTACATTTTAAAAGAAATGCAATTTCCCAAAATTTTCATAATATCAGTCATTCTCATAGATAATTCTGAAGAATCTTTAGATCTTTTATACATTTCATATATGTGAATATATATTCAAAAGCTTACATTATAATATAGGGTCTCGCAAGTCCTTTGTATGAAAGATATAACTCAATGTATAGTATATATAGTATGTATGTATGTATAGTACATATATCTGAAATTCGACCAAAGCTTTGGATCATAAATACGCAGTTGTTTTTTCATGCTTATCTATTGGCAGCAAATATGTGCTGAGTATGCATTCAATGAATTTTAAAGTAAATCTTCACATATCTGCACCTCCTGTGCTCCCATTTCAAATGCGATCTACTGCCACACACACAGACACCCAAGCACACACACGTGCTTGTGCTGACTTTTACTTTTATCAGGGGAACATCTCTTCACATTTCATGCAACAAGCACATCAGCATATCTGAAGTTGCCGTCACAGAAGCAATTAAGAGCTTGTAGCTACTGTAAATAGATGTAGATACAGATACAGATACAAAGATACATACATATACATATAATGTGAATGTCTGAATCATTTATGCAATCAATTGTGCATCTCTCTTCTTCTTGTCAGCGGTAAAGTAATTAAATAACTGCCTGGTCTAATTGGACCCGACGCGGTCAACAATGTCTTGTATATTTTCTGATTGGCCCAAAACTGGTTAGACCTGTAAAATCAACCCCTAAATTTGAGTTGGATGCTGTTGCTATCGCACTGATATCTACCTGCGCACAGGTAAAGACATCAATAATAAGCCTGGCTTAACAGGGACTGCAGGAGCCCAGCTCAGGTAGACCCGAACAAACAAGAGATGGTTACAAAGTGTTGGCCACCAGATTAGCCGGCGGCCAATGAGTCACCCAATTCAACAATGGCTTGCAGTTATGCAAAGGTTATTAAGTAGTGTTGTTTTAGGGGTAGCTGAAAATTGATAATTGAATGCCATTTGGGAATGAGAACGAAAACTGTTTTTTTTTTTAAATTGTATATATATTTTTGTAAAAATATGAGTTAAAATTTATCACAATTTTGTAAAGCTCAGTTGAGTGTTGAGCGACTTGCAGTTAATTTTGTTTGCATTTTTTCAAAAAATTAACAGAAGACGCCTTAAAGCAGGAAACTGGAACCACTGGCCCCAAATGGAAGACATTGTTGCGTGTATGTTTAGCTGACCAAACGCTTAGGCTTGCACCCAACGATCCTGGAACTGAGCGACGGCTATTTCGTTGGCGGTGCTGCAGTACAGTGGCTCGACGAGATCGTTGTCGGCGGGCAGATCGGAGGCGGCGGTCCAGAAGAAGGTGCCATGAGCGGTGCGCACAAAGTGTACTGGCACAGTAGGCATTTGTTCGAGTTCGTAGTCCTCCATTTCGCAGGAAGCGGAGAGACGCTCATTGGCTTCGTTCTCATAGGATTCCAGCGAGGCGGCGCAGGATTTGTTGGCGATGGACTCAAGATCGGCATTGCGGCTGTTCTCAATGGACTCCAGCGATTCCAACGAGTTGGCCTTGTGTGTGTTTTGCATGTTCTGCTGCTCCTCGACCTGTTGCTGATGCTGTTTAAAGATCTTCTGCAGCAGCTTCTTCACGCTGTAGGATTTCTTGTTCGATTTGATGTTCATGTTGTTGACGATGTTCTGGCTCTGGCACATTTTGAATGTATGTTTGCGTTTTAGCTGAGTTGTTTGCTGTACGAAGCGTAGTGCTCGAATGATGTCTGATCCTCTGAAACTGCTGCCTTTTATACCCGCACAGGACCAAAACGAAACCCAAGCCGACAGCAGGTCGGGACAGCGAGGGTAGAGGCAGGCAGGCAGAAAGATACACCAGATACTGTGCGAGTGTGGGAAAGTACAAGGATACGTGCACAGACAAAACGAGTAAACGAGAAAATCCTGAGCACAGACACTCGCACACATGCACACAAAAAACGGCAGGTGTGTTTCGAAACGGACCGCTGGGACGGACCTGCATGCCATTAACCTGCATGCGTTGGAGTGTGAAGGCATGTCATGCTGGATCGCTCGCACCTGCTTGTTGGGTAGGGCAATTTTATCCTGCGCCAGGATCGTGAGAAGCGAGACTTTCTACCAGTTCCCACAGTTTTTCGAAGGATCCTTTTTCGAGCCTATTGAAAACAAGAACAACAACAACAAAAAAAAGAATCTTTTTGCTGATCACTTTTGGTTTTTATATGCTCCTCAGTTGTTATCGTTGTTGTTGTTGTTGTTGCTGCTGGCAGCTCTTTATGCACTTATCTCGTTTTGGTTGGCATAGAAATCCCTTTTTCGGGTCTTGAACACGTGTGCAGCGTTGCCCCCGAAAACGTGGGAGAATATTTTCAATTTTCAACGCTTGAACGACCCAAACAATTAATGGCCTGACAGCAGAGGCCCAGATCAACTAGTTGAATAGGCAAACACACTTTGGCACTGAGACTGGGATCATTTAATGCGCTGTAATTTGAAATTTATAAATTTTTTGTGCCTCGAGGCGTTGCCCAAACGAGCGAGAAAAAAGGAGGATCATAAAAGAAGGAAAGAAAAGGGAAAAAAATAAATAACTAAAACGTGTCAGGCATTCTAAAGCCGAAGGAGTTGCTTTTAATTTCATTTCGATGGCACACAATTAGCAGGCGAGTCGAAACGGTCGGCCCCCCGCTCCTACCCTGTCCATGCCTTATTAAGGGGCACTTTGTGTGCATCCTGGAGGAGCTAAGCGAGAGAGGGAGAGCTGCGCATACACACGCGCAGCGGTGCGCCAGCGTTGTCCTTTTTGGACTTCGGTTCGGTCGCAAGTTGGACACGTGATGGCGCGTGAGGCGTTGAGGTTAGCACAGAGCCATGGGAACGATTTCGGGGACGATCCAGTACTTAATGGATCGTCTTTGACTTGGCCATAAATATTTGTAGCCCATGTGCGTTGGGTTTCCTTCTTTTCATTATTTTTGTTGGAGCTACAGAGTCTTTTATTTTTTATACACAACGCCGGAGAGACAAATTAAGATTCAAGCGGTGACTGTCCTGGTGAGAAGTTGTAGGCTGGCGTTAACAGTTCGTTTCAAAGTTGTTCGAACCCAAAGATTGCGCAGTTCTATTGATGTGTTCCTAGATCCAGGCTATGATTATAAGGTTCGCCTTGAACTCATTGTTATTAGGAGTTTGGGTGATTTGTGTGTGTGTTTTTTGTTGTGCTCAGCTCAGCTATTGAGGATTAATTAGAAAGAAAGGCAACAAACTAAGCATTTGTTTACACAGTAAAGCAATAAATAGTCAGTCAGATAAGATAGAAATTGACAGCTTGGGGTGTTTAAAGTTCTATGGTACTACATATATTTGCTATCTAAGCCCCAGCTGATTTGTATGCACTTTAGGCTCGTTTTTGAAAGTGGATTAAGTAAAAGGCAAAGTGGAATGCAAGTAATTTATTCCAATGCACTCCCTGATAAAAATAATTCTCAAAATTTTATAATAATTATGAGCGCAATAAACAAAGCATAAGAAAATCAAATAGTCAAGATGTAAAAATGTTTTATAAGCAATAAATTTGAAAATATTTTCGAGTTATAAGAACATAAGAATTGTTTAAAATTTTATTAACAAATAATAAATAAAAAATGGCATTAATTTTAATTAAATCGATTTATATATTTTAAAATATTCTTGAACAACAAAAAAACACAAATTTTTAATTTAAGGGGCAATTAGATATTTAATTGGATATCTGATTACTTACGAAGAAAAGCGCATCAATTTCCAACTCGAATAATTAGCTTGAATATGAATTTATGAAAAAAGGATATAGCAATAGATATCATATATTTAAAATATCATGTATACATTTTAAACATACAATTGATTAAATTATAACAGAATAAAACGAATATATATTCCAATGTACGCTTCCCAGATAAGTAGTATATGTAGCAATTATATAAGAGCATTCAGCGAAGATTTTTCAGTTCCTATTTAAATTTGAATCTCTTCCAATCAGTAATAGAACAATTAAGAAATTGGTAGCTCTCCACGTATTGCAAAGAAACTTTAAGATGGCTTACTTTAGTTGAAACACCAATTCATAAATGATGACTTGATTTCGCAAACAGTTATTTATTATTGGAAATCAATGCTTAAAGAAATCAAATGTTACCAGGAATATATTCTTCAAACGCAAATAAAACCATAGTTGACCATTTCGCCCGAGCTGTACAGAATTATTTCATGGAAGTAGAAATTACGGCCTTGGCTGTTTTGGTTGACTCATTCTACCATATCATAATAATGCACGATTGTTTGTTCCAATTGTGTGTCGTCCTTCACTCTATTTTGGTTGACTCATTCCCCTAGTTTTCATTTCATGGCCCACGTGCAATAGCCACCAAATTTCTATGGCAACCAAAAACCAAAAACCAAAAAAAGATTGTTCGAAAAGCCCTGCTGGGGGTCCACAGACTATAGATATAAACAGATAGCAGCTACCACTGTGGCGGTTTTTGGGCTACCGTGGTACCTTGTTTGGCCCAAAATCGTTTCCAGTGAAAATCTTTGACCTGCTCTCTCGATGAACACGTGCACTGATTTCTTATCGTTGCCGATCATTAAAGGTTCCAAAATTGTAGATTAGCCCGAAACAAAACCTGTGGCACACACAAAAAAAGAGATTTGAAAAATTAAAAGAAAAAATATATATCAACAACAACCTGACCCCTCGCCGGTTGCCATTGTTTGCAAGTGTTTAGGTTCCTGGCCCAAATGTGTGCGTACACACACGCACTGGGTTTGGGATTGGACTTGGGCTTGGAACTGGGCATGAGAACGTGATTCGTCTTGTTTGAACACGTGACGACCTCGTTTCTCTCACTGCGGGGTGCTTGGTGTTACGACGCCGTTTCCAAATTGCAGCGTCGCCAACTGACACGTCTTGCTGATGTACTATCTATCCACAAAATATATGCAGCAAGTGCCCCGGCCCCGATAGATGGCAAACGCAAGGTACGTGCGTAACTTGTGAGCAGCGAATTTTCACACATGTGGCTGCAACAGCAGCGAGAAGCGGGAAATACCCGCAACCATTGGGCCGCAATCAGGTCCAGTTACAGGATTCGGGTTTTCCACGACCAGTGTTAACTATGCCGATGTTACGGTATTTCCGCTATTCTCTGGTCAGCGTGAACTTCGAACGAGGCGGGCGAAAATTCAACAGAATGTAACCCTAGAGCCGGCGACGGCAATCACTTCAACTGGTCTAGTTGAAATTGCAGTCCCACATAGAACCTCAAAAAACAATCCATTTCGAAGCCAAAGCATTAAAGTCATGTCCGCCGCAGTTAAAACAACAATGTATCTACAAATCGCAGATATATTTGAATAGCGACCCACGCGGCGGTTTTGTAATGATAAAATAACACACCAAAACACACACATGCACGCACAGGCGGCACACTCATAAATGCGTTATAAAAATAAAAATCTGTTGGTCTGGCTTGGCAGACACATGTGGGGTCCTTTTTTTTATCATCATATTACATGCAAGAGACGCAGCGCACTTGACACGAGACAGGGCGACATGTTGAATTATCTTTTAGTTTACAAATTAGTATGTGAGATGCTTGTTGCACATGCGGGAGGCAGTTCTGGGAATGCAGACATTGTTAGTTTAGGACGTGCACAATGCAAGGATCAATGGGCAATTGCCAAAGAAACGCTTTTTGGCCGCCCATCACTCAACGCACGTGCAGCGCACAAAAGGGGTTGTAATTACAGTTTAACTCAGTGTCGCCGCCCTCCCTAAAAACCAGGCTCAACAACACTACACACCACACACACAGACCGCACCGCACCACACAAGACACCGAGGGGTCCGGTCCGGTATATGCAGATTGGAGGGCAACACGTGCATGTTGATGAGTCCGATGAGCATGCGAGGCGTGGACAGGTCTCAGACTCGGTTTTTGGTTTGCCCTCTCAGGGGCGTCGCCGATCGTTGCAGCTAAGGTTTCATATGAACACTAGCTTAAGGGTGAGGACCTCCTACTTGAGACCCTAGGGAGCTCGGGTTCCCTCACTCTCGCACTCGTTCGTAGCTGGGGTGTTTGGTTGCGTTGACACGCCGAGTTTCTGGGGAGCCATTTAGGCATAAACAAGCACCTACAAAACCCAGACCCTATTAAAACGAAAACTCATTAAAATATATCTAAATTATCGTCCCTTTGCCTCAATCTTTCTACGCGCACAAACAAGTCTTTCAATTTTCTAGTCGTTAGCGTGCCTGGTCCCACTTAATCCTTCCAAGACTAATTACAAAACTGTAGACGCCGGAATCCTGTTACGCATACTGATAAGCTCTGTGATTTAAGAGTTGTCCCCATTAGATGGAATATCTTATTTCTATATTGGGTTTTAGCTCAAACTCAATGCTCCGATTTTCTAATGCAGCACTAACAGATATTGAAGTTTGATCTTGATAGCTGCGCTATACCAAGAAGAGTGTCAATATTTTGAAGCAAACACCAACAGTTTGAGACGAAATGCGATATTGCATAGGTACAGTTGAGCTCAATTGTACATTGCGTGAGCAGGCTCTATGAGAAATGATCATGCACTGATTTTGAACTATTTTTATTTCAAAACATTCCAAAGTAAAAGGAAGATAGTATTAAGCAAAGGAATGAAGACAGGTGAAAAGGGACTCTAATACCATAGCATAACCTCAATTATGTATTTTTAAGAATAATAAATTGAAGGCTGTATAAAAATTATCAAACCATAAATATTATTTATTTCATTATTTACATATAGGATCTAAGGGTGATTTAATAGTATATGTATATGTTTTCTAATAACTAATACAATCTTGTAGATAAGAGTGAACTTTGTAAGATAGTCTATTTCTAAAAGTGTAGTTAGAAAATAAAGGGTGTAGACGTCTTAACTATGGTGAAGATATTTAGATAAGGTGATAGACATTACTTGGTTTCAGAAAAGATATAAATGTTGAGTAGGATCAGTTAAAAATGTTATTGGATTATTATTTTTAAAGTACTTATAAATATATATTATTTAAGTATATGTATCTTTATATTTGTTATTCTCGAAGGCTACAAAATCCTTCTAAAAAATGTTCGGCTTTAGGATGTTTAGAGATTTGCAGTCACTCGTTTTTTTTCTATAATTTACTTTTAGTAAAGATTGCAGTCAATGTAAAATGATTTTTTTATTAGTGAAATTATTATTAATACAAATATTATACTACTTTAGACAGTCATTTAGCAGTAAATTGTTAACAGTAACTACATTATGCCACGATATTTTAAATAGATTCGGGGCCTCTAAAACCTAAATGGATTGTTAAAATATTTGGTAAGCAAATTATTTTTAAAATTTTCCAAGTTCGCAGATTTTACAGAACTATAAATATAACAAACAAAGTTAAGTTTGTTTGGTAAAAAATTGCTTTATTAGATATTTAATAAACGGCTTTCAAGGTCGCTAATTGCCTCATGCACCATTTGTTTGTCATTAGTTACTTTCGGCAGGTTTTTATTAAGAAAATTAGAATTTTGTTTTTTCTATCAGATAGCCAGCCTGAGAGGAGGAGGCCGCGTCGCCCTAGTGATGGGTGGTCGGAGTTAGGGAGTATCTGGGCAAGAGTTCTCCTTAATCTCCTGATGGGACGGGCACCTTGAAGAGTACTAGCTAGTCTGTTGGCGTGTGTTGCTAGCGAAATCTTTTCTATAGTATTTAAAAAATTAAGTTATAAAACCCAATAAGTAAAATGTTGATGATCGCCCTTTAAATAAACTAGGCAAGATACCCAATTCTTAACTAAAATTAATTGAAATAAAATAATGACATAAAGAAAATAAAAGAAGACGAATATCATTTTTTTTCCAAGTTTTAGTTTTTATTACTATTAAAGCTTGTAATATTCTCTTATAGTCTAAAGTTAGTAAGCATAATCTCGCTTATTTGTACATCTTAAAACTATTAAAGCCGGAGATTGGTATCTTATAAGCTAGTCATGCTTAGATCTATGTAAAGCTTTTGTTATCACAGTTTACATCGAGTCAATTGGAAGACATGATTCGTTGTTATGGTTGAAGTTGTAGATTGTTGTTATCTCTGTGGATTACCAGGGGCGCCACACTGAAGGGCTGCCAGACTGTGGGCTCGCTGCTGCCTCAGACTCCTCGGCATCGCTGTGATAGCCGGAAGATGCGGGGCTGGCGGAACGACTGATTGGCATGGATTCCAATTCGGTTTGCTGCTGCTGGTGTTGTTCTGATTGCTGGTCTGCCTGCAGCATGCGCTGGAACTCAATGCCCAGATGTGTCATCACCGTCTTGCCAACATCAACGCTCAAAGCCGGCGTGCAGGCCATCACACGTGAGATTTCGCTGACGGCATTCATGTAACCGTTCTTGAAGCTGTCCATGGGCACAGGTGAGACCGGCGCCTGTTGCTTGATCAGCTGCTTGCGCATGAAGACAAGTGCCGCCTCGAGCATTTCAGCCTTGTCCAGACGTAGTATGGCATCGTCGCCCTGGAACTCGGCAACAAGTGTCTTCAGTGTGTCCAGGCACATGTTCATGCGTGCCCGACGCTGACGCTCCAGCAGCGGCTTCTTCACCTTCAGATAATGCTGGGTCTTCGAGACGTACGCGGTTTCAGTTTGTGGTGCCATTTCTGAGGTCTTCTTGAGTGCTTTAGTTGTGCACGGTTTGCAGGATGCTGTGTGAATGATGCTCTTCTCGAATGCAGCGTCGCCTTTTATAGGCTGCACTGCAGTTCGGGCTTCGGGTCCTGCAGCCAGGACCTGCTGCAGGTAGCCAGACGTGCAGAGATCTAGAAATCTCTCTCTCCCTCGCTCTTTGCAATGCGTGGGAAAGGAAATCGTTGATAGACCCTAAAACTGAGATGCACATCAACAATAACTAAAAGACGATTGTCTAGTTGCGTGTCTGACGCATTGTAACTGCAATTAAACCGTAAAATTCTGGCCAAGATCCCAGAGAAGAGAGAGAGGCCAAGACAATTGACCGGACCGTGGTGATTTGTCTTATAAGCCAAAAGTAAAAATTGATGAAAAGTTACAAATGTTCTTGGATCGATGTGGTTTTTATGGCTTCGTCCTTCAAAAAGGCTTGTTGTATTTTCGGGCAAAAAAATATATGCTTAAAAATAGTAATTGTATTCAAATCATTTTAGAAAATTCACCGATCGGCATTAACATTAACTACATGAACTACAATAAGTTTTTAACTAATTTATTTAGTAGATAAATTATAAAATTAAAATATGTAAATATTATTTATAACATCTTAAGGTCTCTTAAAAAGCCTTATCCGACTTTTTAATAGTTATTAAATAACTTTTCTAAGGACAATTTTTTTATGCCATAAAAAAGCGTTCATAAGCTTAACGCAAATTTAAGTTAGATACATAAGCATACATAAGCTGAAGAAAGTAGCTCAGCTATTTGAGAAATTGAACAAGGTTCGAAGTCCAACTTAGATTATTTATAGCTTGATATTCCCTTATAAAATTAATATTAATATTTGTTATGAACTTTATTTTTCAAAGGATTGTCACCTTTATTAATATAAGTCTGTGCCTAGATATTTCGACAAATCACGGACTTAAATAATTAGGTTAAATAGTAACCTAGTTCACGTATAGAAGATACCTAAACGAAATTTTATATTTTCTAAAATAACAAAATTTAGCTAGTACTTATAACTAGTTAAGTACTTTTTTTTTAATTTAAAATGTTTTATATTTTCAGTTCAGTTCCTAATCCCCTCACACACATAGTCCAATTACAGCTCACAGAAAAAGAAATTCCATTATATTCACACTACTAGTACATACCCAATCTGCAGAGCTCCAGTTAGCATCCGTGCCTATAAGAAGGGGTGGTAGCTCCGTTGCGGTAAGTGGCACCCGCAGCTCGGCGGATCGGCAGCTCGGCACTCGTCAGTCGTCCGTCGTCAGTGGCTCGTATGTGCGTCGATTGCTCGATTTTCATATCGTGAGAACCGCTCGAGAAACGTCGTGTGTTTCCCACGCGATGTGCACACCTGCCATTTAAGTCGCTTATATGGTTGCGATTACAAACACAGCAGCAACATAAACAGCAGCAACATGAGGGCCTCGACTGTTGACGGCACACATTTATTGCGTCGGCGCGACGCGCATTATCAGCGTCGTGTGGCTGCCCTGACGACTTGACTGACGGACTGACTGTCTGATTGTCTGACTGACTGATTACTGGCTGCTTTACTTTAGTTTTTCACTCTTGTCGTCATCATGTTGCTGCCGCTGTTGTCGTTGTTGCCGCTGTTGTTGTTGCTGGCGTCGCCGTTGTCGTCATTGTCGATTGTTTAATTTAAATCGTCGTCGCGATGTCGGCTACTTGGCTTCAGCTTAATGATTATACCCCAAAGTCTGCTTCGAGGTTTCTGCGGAATTGTGCGCAATAGTTATTTGTACTTTACGACATGCGCTAATTGAACCGCAGAAGAGTTTATGAGCCACAGCTTCAGCTTAAGCATCAGCCACAGCAACGTTGATTGGCCAAAGCCGAAGGTGAAAAGTTGGCGCTACCGTTGACGTGATTGGAATTGAGTTTTTTATATGTATACAAGTGCTACTGTCGGCCAACATCAATTGAGCGTCAATTGTGGATTTGATTTGATGAGCATTGGGTCATAAGCGAGCAGAACGTGAGCAAAAAATAGGCCTCAAGAAAAAATTGCCAGCAGGTGCAAGACTTGAAGATTTGCAATCTTTCAGATACGTTTAAGAGCGTGGCATTTATAAGAACAAATCGTGCAGGTGATTAGGGCCTTTAATAACAGTCTAAATTAAATCGAAAGGGCTTCTGAAATATATATCTTATTGGAGAAAATATTCGAACTACCAATTGAGCATTTAAAGACACCTCCTTGATTAGAAATTGAACAAATATTTTCCTATATAACTTAATCCGAAAAAGTTTGAAAACATCTAGAACAAGTAGTCCAAATATATTTTGAGAGTTTTAAAGAAATACAAAACTTTATTGGAGCAGGGCTTGCACACGCCAAATCTTCAGAAAGAAAGTATTTAAATAAATTAAAATCTTTTGTTTATGAGACATCTTTTCAGATTTTAGCCTGCCAAGATAGAGGCACTCACACAGGAATATTTTGATTAACAAAAACGTTCATACTTCAACTCTCAAAGGTGACATCACAGAAATCTCTGCGCTTGAGTTGTGTGTCTTTGGAAAATTTGGTTAAACTAATTTTGAATTTCACAATATTAAGAAAAGTATAAAGAAACACATTCCAGTTTGATAAAACAAAGTTAATTTAATGCCGAATAGTAAAATACACCTTCCCCCCATTAAATAAAAAATAAATACAAACACCAAAGATTGATCACAACATGTTGCTGACTTTTATTGATTTCAATATGTTGCATTTTATTTTAATTGATACAAAAACAACCCTTTAAGCAACTTTAATCCCACTCATAATCTTGATTTATACTGTTGACAATGCATAAAGGGAAGCCAATAGTTGTAATGAAAACATTTATTTTACCATTAGGGAAACAGTTCCCAGGTAACTTCAAAGATATTTACCTTTAACCTACAACACCGTAAATTAACTACACGATAACTGGACAATTGTATTGCTCAGCATTGTTAAAAGAACTAAACATTAACTGCCTTAAATGGTGGGAAAACCCAAGCGCAACACTTACTAAGATTCTAATTAGTTAAGCATACCAAAACAAATGCGTGTATGGTAATTTTTAAACTCAAATGCTATACTTAAAACATCGCAGTGCAATACTTTAATACAGTGGGTACCATTAAAGGCCACATTCAATTAGACAACAACTCCCCAAAGTGTGGCACGTGCCTAACCCTCCCACAGCTTTAATTAAAAGTGACTGAAAAAGCACTCAAATTATAATCCACAAAACGCCCAAATACGCAATCAAGTGGCGATCAAACAAACGCCACTAAACTCAATTGCTGCACCTTGCGCCATAGCCGAAGTTGCAAGCAAATCAAATGCACGACGGCCACGTGACCGCCCAACGCCCCGCAGGCGGCTGATACTGCGCAGCACGAGACAAGTGCGTCCGCCACGCGACTGCGGCCGGCGCAAGCTTTCCACAAGTGGCCAAACCGACAAATATCAATCAGGTGCAAAAAACGAGCCGGAGGCGGCATTGGGTCGGGTTTTGTGTGCATTTGATAATTGGGAAATGAACGGGCACACACACACTTGTCCGAGAAGGCTTTAGAGGTCGAGCGAGACTTTCGCCAGGCAGCAAGTGCAATATGTGTCAGGCAGTCAACATCCATCCACCACCGGCAACAGCAACAACAACAACAACAACAAGAACGGCAGCAACACGAACCGGGCTGTGGCCTAAATTGCAAGCAGCTGCCACTCGAACCGTGGGATATTTTTCCCCTAACCAACTGAGGGCCATCGAACCTTATCCATGGGAACCACAACTGCTCGACGCTCTCAATATTTATTTTGTGCGTTCGTTATATTGAATAAGTAAAAAACAAAACAAGGGAAAGGAAGCATCGACAATGAGGGGTGCGGACGACTGACACGATTATCCTGCACGTGTTGAGCTTGCTCTCCACTCGGCCTGATGAGCCTGCGCTGAAAGCGTGGCAGGCAAGCGTTGGGCGGCTGCTGTTGCCACAGTTTCCACAGTTGCTGCTGCTGTTGCTTTTGCTTTTGCTCTGAAACTTGCAACATCAGTCAGCCGCGTGCTGGCCACATGTGTTGCCCATGTGGCACTTGTCGCTGAGTGCTGCTGCTCTTCTTCTTTGATTGGGTGGTGGTTGTGGTGTTTTTTGGGCGGGAAGCTGAGCTATATAAGCGCGACACTTGCCACGCCAGCAGCACAGTTGAAATTTGCAACGCGAAGCGCTAACAACAACCGAAACAAAACTATGTCTAAAGTGAAGAATCTAATTGCCAAAATGCTGCAGCGTCGCGGCAAGTGCAACGTCAGCAGCAGCAGCAGCAGCGGGCACAGCAACAACAACAACATCAGCCACTGCCAGCACTATGAGAGTCTAGAGGAGATTGCGCAAAATCAGGCCAACGAACGCATGCTGCAGGAGACAGCAATGGGCACACATCAATTGCTCTTTTGCCTGGAAACAGCAGACGGCAGCTTTTATTGGCATGCACAGTAGCAACAGCAACAACAACAAACAAACAAACAACAACAAACCGGTAGATAGAAGTGGTCAAATGTATGAATGAATACTTCTTCAATGAAGCCATCCCATCCAGTCAGCCCGTCAGCCACTCAGCCAGTCAGCCGGTCATGCGAAACTAGTTGCATGCAACATATGAGCAAGTGGGAAACAAGCTGCCAATGCAATCGGCCAAGCAGCCATCAACGGCAACAATGTCAACGTTGTCCCGGGCAAGGTGTTAATTAAGTATTTAATACCAACTTTATGCCAACTTTAAATACCTTGTGATATACATTTACATACTCCGAATCTATCAGAGTTTAGTTCATAGTGCCAATAGTATAAATGTTGTTAATTTTTAATCTAATAAATAATCACTTAAAAGTAAAAAAAAACTATGCCTTGTATTGGTTTTCAGATTGGTTTTAATAATGATGGTAAATCACCCATAGTTCAAGTCGATAAAAACGTACTAGGTTTTAGCAATTGTGGTTTTATTAAATAATTGTTTCGATAAAACCCGAGTGACTTAAATTACAGATAAAGTTGTCAATTTTATTAAGTTTTTTAGTATTTTTTTCAATATTACTATATTATTATTATTATTATTATTATTATTATTATTATAATTATTATTATTATAACTATTATTAATATTATTATTGTTATCGTTATTATTATTATTATTATTATTATTATTATTATTATTATTATTATTATTATTATTATTACTATTATTATTATTATTATTATTATTATTATTATTATTATTATTATTATTATTATTATTATAATTATTATTATTATTTTATTATTATTATTATTATTATTATTATTATTATTATTACTATTATTATTATTATTATTATTATTATTATTATTAACATTATTATTATTATTATTATTATTATTATTATTATTATTATTACTATTATTTTTATTATTATTATTCTTATTATTATTATAGTGAAATAACATCATTCAAACTTAAAGGAGCTGATGGTAATTTAATTAACTATGATCCTAGTGCCTATTTAGTTATAGGCCCTCAAAGCTTGAATTCGTATAGGGTCAATAATAACATCCTGTCTCCAGAAACTTTGAAATTCAATAAACCGCATAACTACATACCAGTTACACACGCCCAGTAAGCTTCTCGTAAGTTCAGTGCAGCGACCCTTTGACGAATGTGCCGTTCCACACCCCCCTCTTTTCAGCCTTCTAGCCTGTCATTTTACGTGTGTCTGTCGCGCGTTATTACGCGGCTCAAGCATGCACACACATACAATTTCACAGCCACAGCAACAACAGCAATGACAACACCAACAACAAGAGCCACAACGATGGAAAGGCATTGCATAGACAATGTGCGAAGCAACCCCCAACCCCGTTGTGTACCCAAATGTGCCCCTATTGAGATCGACGATCCGTTCGCCATGTGCAGTTGAAAAAATGTTCTCACACTCTCGAAAGATTGTAACGGCTTGCTGTTCAGCACACTCTCAGCACGCCATGCTCATCATGGCTTGCCATCTCATCCCCCTGCGCTCAATGTGGTTGTCTCCCTCTCGCCGTCGATCGGCTGCTCGCACTTCCTGCCCGTGGCCAAACTGGCCACGTATATTGTTTATATAGTTAACGAATGCGATACATTTAATCTTTAGTGTGTGTCAATTTGCTGTACAGTCATTTAGTTTGCATGCCCCGCACAGCGTCCCTATCCTAAATGCTCGTTACCCGATTCCTGGTCCCCGGTCCCACGACGTGCCCAGGCATGCCACTTAGCGTGGCCCAAGTGTTCAACAGAAGCTACAATTCAGCATTCATAATTGACAACAAGAACAACAACAACAACGGCGACGGCAACAACAGCAAAGAGGAACCTCTGGGCCACGTCGGGCAAGAAAAAAATAAAAGGCAGGTGGTAGTTTTTTTCGGCAGTACTGTCCACACCACTCGCCATGACTCGATCTTAGGCACGGTCAGATTTACCGTGGGACAAGTGCATAAATATTTTGGTAAAAAATTAATGTGCTGCTAAATTTAAAATTTTAAATATAAAAATCAGAATAAGCCATAAATAAATGGAATCTGCTCACAAATATTGCTTGAGGTCAATTTTTCTTTTCTTTCTCAAATCTTTTCCAGCCCATTCTTCTGGTTCAACCTAATTGTCTTCCACTTCGGTCTAAAATTCCTTTTTCGTATACTTCCCACGCTCATCAGCGCAACCTGCAAATAAACATAAATATCTGTTCACATCTGCTTGATACGAAATTTCCTAGACGGTGTCATTTTTTTTTTTTAAATACACCACGACCTTGCAAAATCACCTTACCCCGCGTCACCACTCGCAATATTTTCAAGACTTCATTTACTCAGTCAGTACCAAAATCCCGTAAACTTACCGTTTCAAGTACAAAACATGCCACGCTGTTCTACAACAGATTTTCCACATTTTACCTTACTATACCAAATGTTTTTCAAACTTCATTCCCACGCACAGGCACTTTCAGCAATCCTGAAACTAACCGTATCAAGTTAAGAGCACACCACGTAAAATCCACAACAGAAATTTACCTAGAGTCTAGAATTTTACACATCAAGTACAAGAAACATGTATTGGAAAATCCTACGAATTCATTCAATAAAACCTTGTACAAAATTTCCGCATGTGCTTTGCCCACTGTGCAATGTGCATAAGGGCTCAACTCGGGAACTCGGTCTCTCTCTCTCTCTCTTTGGTTCTTTGGCTCTCACTCTCTCACCCTACACGGCCGGCCTATTATAACTTATAACACCAACGAGCGAGAAAAATCTTGTGGGAAACTTGAGGGCAAAGTGTTTCCCACGATTCGAACGTCAATGTAAAAGAAAACAGAGAAGAGCTAAAAGCAGCAATGACAACAACAAGCTGAACATGTGCAACAACCACCACCACCACCACCACCACCAACACACAGACGCACCATCAGCTTCATCCCCTGCCAAGACTGAAACTTGTTTGCCGAGCCAACAAGAGAAAAACCAACCACCAACAGCAGACGAGGATCGTTACAAGGCGCAGACGCAACGAAAGCCGAGAGCCCAGAGCCGAATAGCCGACACGACCAGAGTAGCCGAGCGACCCAATGACTGAGTAATTTGCTCGGCAGGTGGTGTTGTTGTTGTTGCTGCTGCGTCTCAGCTCTCTGCTGGCAGCTCTCTGGGTGCGTGCGCTAAGCACGAGACGCAGTCGAAGTCGACGTCAACGTCGAAGTCGGCACGTGCAGCTATAAAAGCAGCGGTAACTGGAGACGACAGCAACATTCTCAACGCAAACGTCGTGAAGTACACACGCATCCAAGCAACCAATACATCTCTTCTTACATCACAAACAACAACCATGGCCACCAAATACGAGTTATCAAAAACCTATCAGTACCGCAAGGTGATGAAGCCGCTGCTGGAACGCAAGCGTCGCGCACGCATCAACAAGTGCCTGGACGATCTTAAGGATCTGATGGCCGAGTGCGTGGCACAAACTAGCGATGCCAAATTTGAGAAGGCCGACATCTTGGAGGTGACCGTGCAATACTTGCGCAAGCTGAAGCAAACCAAGTCCGCCAATGCCACTGCATCCGCAACGGAGCACAGTTTTCGCGCCGGCTACATTCGTGCCGCCAATGAAGTTTCCCGTGCGTTGGCTGCATTACCCAAAGTAGATGTCGCCTTTGGCACCACACTGATGACACATCTCGGCATGCGTTTGAATCAACTGGAACAGCCCGTGGAGCAGCCAGCGCCAATGGCACCGCATGCACCCCTAAGCATCAACTGCGGCTCTGCCTACTCCTGCAGCAGCAGCCGCGACGCCTACAGCCCCGTCTCCAGCGGCTATGCCAGTGACAGTGATTGCAGCTCCGGCTCATCCACGCCCATCGCCGCTCAATCTTTGCTGCAGATCAGCAACACCGGCAGCGTCTGGCGTCCGTGGTAATTGATGACGCCGGGCAGTCATCGGGACACGCACGCAATTCAACTGTAGCTTTACAATGCTTTACAATGATCTTCATTTTGCCTCCAATTAAGTGTTACGCAGTTTTGTAAGTTAGGTCTGTGATAGGGCACGTTTTATTGACTCCATTATAGCAATTAGCCAGAAGTCTGTTAGCCAATATAAATGTTTTTAGCTTAAGAAAAATATAAGAAAACATATGCAAACAAAACTTTTATATCTTTTATTTAGTTATTTTATACCAGTTATTTATTTCAGTTATGCACATTCCAATCAGAATGAAACACATACAAGTTTAATAACTGTTACTCATGGAATGCTAATTTTCCAGTAGGTAACATTTTCATGACATGAATTAAATGTAAGCCAATTATATGCTGATTTTAAATTCTTTCAAAATGTACGAAAGTTAAATTTATAAAGGTTTATTTTATTTGTATTACTTTTTAAAAATCGAACTCCATTATTTTCTTTGATGTATTATTTACCTAATACATTTTGAACTAAGAATAGTTGATTCGTGTACCCTGTACTCTAAAAAAGAAGGTTTACTAATTTTGACAAATGTCAAAAGGCATCTTCATAAATTTAAATAAGTCAATTCTATAGCTGTTTTTGCAGCCGTCAATTTATTCTATTTTATTTCATTTTCTTGAAATTGAAGTTAATAACACCGAAATGATTATTTATTATTATACTGTAGTCTGTCTTTTCTTAGAACAACTATAATTTAAATTTTATAAGTTATTAGTTATATTAGTATATTATACGAATATTATACACAGTAACTACTAGTATCTATCAAATATTTTTGAAACAATTTTGTAACCTGATGCAAACATAAACAACTTCAGCGATATGGTATTATTATTATTATTTTAGGTAAATAACCTCAACATTATATATTAATATTAAACTGTTTCTAATTTACGACCACATTTTTTCAAATTTATTGTTAATCTTCTGAAACAAATTCCACATTCTTATCAGATTTATACGCCTTTCGGCGAAATAGCCCAATAAAAAAGCTCGTCTTATGCAATTGGATTCCCAACGAGAAATCTGAAAATCAGAATCTAACTCATTAAACACTATCTATACGATTTGATTACAACCACACGTGCTACAAAGAAATACCTTTTAACTAACACAGACACCTAATGATTGTTAATCTGTAGTTAAAAATGTTTTGGTATCTCAATGTTCAATTAATTATCAATTTATCAATTAGCTGCCGCAGAGAACAACAACAACAACAACGAGAAATTGATCAATTAATGATAAATGTTAAATACGTACTACATACCAGATGTGAGGGGGTTGCAATTAAGCCACCGATCACCCAGCGATCACTTCAGCTAAACCACGCGTCGCCAGATCAGAGCACACTTTCAGCGTCCGCCTGACCTGGTAGCCCAAGCCAAACGAAGCCAATATGCCACACTAATTGTGTCCAATAAACACTCAGCGGGCAATGGGAATGAGGAGCAGGGATCGGGGCAGAGACCGCATTATGCCATCATCATCTGCATACATTGATGAAACAATAAGCAAAAGATGGCACGGCAGGATAACAATGAGAACGGGAACGACCCACGCACTCGCACAGGATGAGGCAGTGAAGTATGCATTAAGGATAATAACACCGGCCTAAAGAGCAACTACAGCAGCAGCAGCAGCAACAACAGCAACAGCAACAACAACTGCATGGCGATGCCCAAAACAGCGACAGCTGCAAAATTTGTGCTCTGATCCTTTAAAAAAGCGAAGCATGTGGCCAAAAGGAAAACAAACGAGAAAAAATTGTGTGAGAAACTTACTTTCAGGTCGGTTCCCACGCCACGAGCCACAAGGATTGCCGATTGTCCTCCATGCCAGCCGCACATTGCAGCTGTTCCTCTGCTCAGCGCCTGATGACGCCTGCGCGTCAGAGGGAGAGCCCTGCCATAGCATGCTACGGACATGTCCGTGCGAGCGAGACGGGGCGCGCTCATGCGTAGCACTGGCCGAGGGTGGATTCTGAACTTGGGACCGGCTATAAAAGCGACGCATTGGCAGCCAAAGGGCATCATTCACGATACAGCCAGCAACAAGGCAACTACGAGCATTTCTGCATTGCCTGTGCGCACTTGAAATTCATAAAATTTACGTAAAAATGGAATACACCAGCAAAACACAGATCTACCAGAAGGTGAAGAAACCGCTGCTGGAACGTCAGCGTCGAGCACGCATCAACAAGTGCCTGGACACTCTAAAGACACTTGTCGCCGAGCTGCGCGGCGATGATGGCATTCTGCGCATGGATAAGGCCGAGATGCTTGAATCAGCTGTGGTATTCATGCGCCAGCAAAAGATGGGCAAATCAGAAACAGCAACACCAGCATCACCAGCTATGCCATTGGAGAGCTTCCGTAACGGTTACATGAATGCAGTCAATGAGGTGTCACGTGTTATGGCATCCACACCTGGCATGAGCGTTGACCTCGGCAAATCGGTAATGACGCATCTGGGCCGTGTCTACAAGAATCTGCAGCAGTTCCATGAGGCACAAACAATGTCCGAATCGGAGGCGACAACCGAGCTGAGTATCAACTGCAGCTCGGCGCCGCTTAGCCCCGCTTCATCAGGCTATCACAGTGATTGCGAGAGTCCTACACCATCGCCGATGCCAGTGGAGGGCGAGAAACTGTGGCGCCCCTGGTAAGGCATCCGGCAAAAGGCAGCTACTTGAAAGAAGACAAAAGACAACGCAACTGTGATAACCAACTGTGATGGGAACAAAACAATTAGCAAAAGCAAAACAATTTAATAAATGCAATTAAGAATCATAATATTCTATGACTTTTGATTAATAGGGATTGGGCAACAAAAGGGTGACTTTCGCCTTATTGAAATAACAGGCAACAGCAGCGTTTTCAGACAAAAATTGTATGTAAATAGAACGCAGATACATATATGATATTAATATCATAATATATGTTTTATGTTATAGTAAGGGAATTGCGTCCATGCATTTGAGCTTGAATAACAAATCCCTGCTAATCATCGGGATGTGCTGTTTCAAAAGATCCTCCCCTTTATAATTTCCTTGATAATTGTCGCCTTGATGAAGTTATTTATAAGCTTTTTTCTCGTATTTTCAATGTAAGAGTTTATTTAAAGATAATTTTCAAAATATTTTGAATGTACCCAAATTTGCTTATGGCTTTAATATAAATGTTATATGAAGTCAAAATATGTGTAAAATTTGCACATACATTTTCATATTTGTTTAGTTGTTTTAATAGATATATAAATATATTTAATCACACGCTAATTACTTTGTACTGATTTTTAAATTTCGATTGCGTGCCCTATCAATCGTTGCTCGTGTTCTACAATGTTGCATGTTGATAGCATTGACGCACCATCGAATTCGATAAATCAAAGTGGCCAGTCGATAAATTGTGGCGGCCATTCGATACATATAAATAATAAAGTGATGAGATATATCTAGCGATGTATCGTCGGCTTTTTATTTTTTCCACGCATTAAAATTACTTTCGCGGTTTAAAAACAAATCGGCAGCGAAGTTTATTAACTTTCATAAGTAATTGTGCATTACGTGCGGTTTAAAACATTGTCGGATAGCAATTAAAAGCAGCCGTAAATCTAACTGCAAAATAGACGGCTAAAGCAGATGCGAAAAAATAGAGACGAGAACGAGAACGCCACACAACACATACACGACGCGCAGGCTGGCTGTCAGACGTAGCGAGTCGGTCGGTCGGTCGGTTGAAGAGGCCAGTTTTTACAGGCAAAATCCGAGCAAAAAAATTACGTTTTTTTTGCACTGAAAAAGTCGGCTCATATCAGTGCAGTGTATGTGTACGCACACAAAGTGGCAATAAAATGTGCAATTGAACCGAAAGCTAAACGCCCAAATGTAAATTGGTACTGCCAACTACTCCGTTTTTTAATTGCTTTTGTTTATTTTTTGTTGGGCCAATTTTTCTTTTGCGCTGCGCTCGTGTGTGCGCGTGTGTTTGTGTGTATGAGTTTTGCCACTCGTCCGTTTAGGGTGCGCGCGCGTGTATAAGTCTGTCTGTCTGTTTGCATGTATGTGTGAGTGGTCAACTCGCTGTCGCAAGTAGTGTTGCTTGGAAATTACAATTTCTGTTGGATATTTCCTTTGTTTGTATATAAAATATTTTGGTTGGTTGCTGCAATGTCTCAAAGTGATTAAAGGCAGGATTCGCTTTATTAGAATTCAACTAAGTGTCTTGTGCTCCTGCCTAGTGGCAATATTTTTGCTCCGGTTAAAGGTGGCAACCCTGCGTAATTGCAGTCTATCTGTATGTGTATTGCACGGGTACATTTGTTTGTACAGAGCGTGCGGGCAGCGTGCATAGCTTTTGCAAATATTACATGCCACAATAATGTGGAAATAGTTTAGCAAGAACATCTCATGCTTCCTAAAAAGTGAACGATAAATTTTTACCTTATGCCGCATGCTTATTTTTTGCGTAACAATTTGCTCTGGCACATGCAACTGTGCGTTTGATTTTTTCGGCGGTAAACACTCACACTCATACCCTCGTACGTACGTAGTCCTCTAAATGTGTGTGTGTGTGTGTGTGTATGTGCTCACTCGTTGTTGCTGGCATGGCTGCCATTGCTGAGATGCTCAAAAATACGTGAGCGCGCCTGTGTTAGTGTGTGTGCATGTATGTGCGTGAGATTCTACGTATCGAAAAAAATGGTGCAAAATAACGACCAATAACTAAGAAACGTAAAATTCCCATTGCAGGATATCCGCAAAACGCTAGACAATATGGAAACGCAGGAGTTAAACTAAACCTAAAATCACAATAAAAGCAAATAAACGCTTGCAAAATTATATACATGCTCCGGTGTTAGTGCTGCTAATTTCGGCAGAGGAGAGTTCAATCTCAGGGTGCCAGCAGCAGCGGGCAGCGGCGCGCTGCCAACAGGAAGAGGAAGCATAAGCAATTCGCTCAACCACAGGCTACGAACAAAATATATATAAAAAGAATTACGGTACAAAAAACTACAACTGTTATTTGTTGTTTTTCCCTTCGTCCCTGGTTGAGCAACAATTTAGCAATAATCACAACCAGAACAGCAGCACAACAATGTATCCCGCACCGGTGCGTCACCCCGCCGCCGGGGTAAGTATACAGATTGCACTGGGACCCAATCAAGTGTTTTGCTAATTGTGTTTCGCCCCCATGTCCATCTTCAATACGTACAGGGACCACCACCTCAGGGTCCAATCAAATTTACCATTGCCGATACACTGGAGCGCATCAAGGAGGAGTTTAATTTTCTGCAGGCACAATATCACAGGCAAGTATCTACGACACATCGTTACCCAATAGGAAACCCAACCAAACAGCTAAAAGATAGGCTTATATGATTAGGAAAATTCCATCATTATTTTTCCGATGCATAATATTAATTTCAAATTTATGTAATACTTTTTGTGTGACCGCTCTATTGACACTGTTTAGACACATTTGGATAATATATTTCTAAGTTAATCAAAATTTAAGCGTTGTACGGTGCAAATCTATAGTAAAATGATGTCATGAAAACGTCCGTTCTTTTTTCATGCATCTGCATGGTAGTTAGTTTTTATCCCGAACAATTTACGGGTTAAAAGTCTCAAAAAACTGTACTCTAACGAACATTCTACACTAAAATAGAATAAAGAATTTCCGATTTCGAATTCTTTTATATATATAACAACAAAAAATTGAATTCTGTAGTTTTTCATGCTTACATTCTCTGCTGGGCTTATGCTGCTTTTCAGTCTCGCATGTCTTCGGCTGTGTAAACCGGTTTGCCAGGCAACGCGCCATATGCGTTGCTGGTCATAGGATTTTTTAGCCGGCGCGACGACGGAAGCGTTGCCCGAGATTTCTTTCAACTAAACTAATTTGGCCTTTTGATTATTTTTCCTGTGAATTTCAGCATCAAATTGGAGTGCGAGAAGCTGGCAAACGAAAAGACCGAAATGCAGCGCCATTATGTTATGGTAAAAATAGTTATTAATGATCAACTTTCAATTTCAGTATGTTTTCTAATCCTTTTCTCCCACACGTTTCAACGCAGTACTATGAAATGTCCTATGGCCTTAATGTGGAAATGCACAAGCAAACGGAAATCGCCAAGCGTCTAAACACACTGATCAACCAGCTACTTCCATTCCTACAGGCCGATCATCAGCAACAAGTGCTGCAAGCGGTAGAGCGTGCGAAGCAGGTCACAATGCAGGAGCTCAATCTGATCATTGGGGTAAGTTCTTCCATGGTCACCAAGTGGCGCGCCCGAAACGGTAAAGTTACGTTATAGCGAACAAATTGTATATACATTTCGTTTTCGTAAGACTTCTTACCGTATTCATAACATAGGAATCGAAATATAGAATTTTTAAACTTTTAGAAAAATGAGCCTGTATAAAAATTGCATTTTTTACTTAAATTGAGATCATTCATGTGCATTTTTATGAATCAATTGACTTATAAAATTAAGTAAAAAAAAACCCCAGTTGCTGTTTATAAAAATCAAATTTTGTGAGTTTCAGTTTTATTTGATTTAGTCGTGTGTACAGTGGTCGCTCGCAATTTAGAACTCATCGGCAGAGCTCATTCAATGATATCCTTTTTAGCCGGCCAATATTTTCAGTCCCAAACTTATTTCTAACTTTTTCGACACAATCACAAATTTTTAACAAAAGCTAATCCTGCAGCAAATAAATTGTTTTTTGCGACATTTATAATTAAGACGACTTTACTAAACAATGAAAAGACAGCAAGTAATGTTGAAACAGTCGAAAATGTTAAATTAAAATTTGTATTACCCAAAATGGAAAAGTTTCCAAACATCATCTACTTTTATTTATCATACATGGAAATGTGTACATTATGTCAGTATACTATTTTTAAAATTAATCTATGACCAATTTTAGACTTAATATTATATTATTTTCACGGACTCTTTTTCATAAAGGGGGCTATTTCAATTTATGACCGATTCGCATTTTGAGCGACAATCTTTAGATGTAAATATAATATACTGAAAATTCTAGAAACATTCATACTTCAACAAAATAGGCTTTTTAGTAGGGAATTTTTACCAACTACCGTGATTCACTTGAACAAAGTGTACTGCACAATAATTTTATAGTTTTGCGACTTATTTGACCAACTTGTTTTTTTTTTATATATTTTTTTTTGTATAATATTGAAACAAACTACGATCAATACAAAATGCGTTTGACATAATTTTGAAAACGATGTGTATGTGCGTACAATATCCGTGTGTCTATAGCAGCATCAGCAGCAACATGGAATACATCAACTTTTAGTAAGTTTTTATTATTTTGTTCATTTGCCGTTTGCGTTCGTTCGTTTGTTGGTTGTTTGCTTGTTGCATTATTTCTGGCTCGCCTCTCCAGAAGGTGCCTTTCATTTTGTTATTATTATTATTTTAGATGTTAATATTGCGTCAGTTCTAAGCCGCCGCTTGTTTTTCTACTTTTCGATGTTGTTGGTGTTGTCTGCACACACGCGCACAGCTGCATCAAAATAGCTTTTGTTACGTCCCAAAGCCAAATAACAGAAAATGTTAAGCTCATGCACTTACATCAGCATTTGTTCAACTAACTAACTGCCTGCGGCTTTCCAATTGCAGCAACAAATACACGCACAACAGGTGCCAGGCGGCCCGCCACAACCGATGGGCGCACTAAATCCGTTTGGTGCATTGGGTGCCACGATGGGCTTGCCACATGGGCCACAGGGCTTGCTTAAAGCGCCGCCTGACCATCAAAGGCCGGATATAAAGCCCATGGGCTTAGAGGGACCAGCGGGCGCTGAAGAGCGCTTGGTAAGCAACGTCATCTAAAAGCCTATAATATCAAATACTTATCAAATTATTGTTCTGTTGCAGCGCAATTCGGTTTCACCAGCGGATCGTGAGAAATATCGTACGCGCTCGCCACTGGATATTGAGAACGACTCGAAACGTCGAAAAGATGAAAAACTGCAAGTGAGTATCGTGTTAGAGTAAACGCATATATCATTTAGTATACTCGACTCATTGTGTCATCAGCAGTTGCTGCCTCTCAACTCACCAAATAAAAAAAAAACATATTCTTATAATATATAGTAGCCTACCTCATATGTAGTTATTGTCTATTCTAATCCACTGTCACTTCATGCGCTTCATAAAATCGAAATGAAAATCAATATATTATACTTATATTTGTAGTGTAGTGCAATAAACAACTAAATTGTTATTTGTGTTGTTGTCGTTGCTATCGTTGTACGAATTTTGTTTTATTGTTTGTTTGTTTTTTCAAAATTATTTGCAGGACGATGAAGGCGAGAAAAGCGATCAAGATTTAGTCGTAGATGTTGCAAATGAAATGGTGAGTTGAGTCTCGGCCCTGATATTCATGCAACAAACTCCACAAAAATTAAATAACAAAATAACATTCCCTCAAACACTCGAAATTTAACACTCGTTTCAATGCCCCTTGCAGGAATCCCACTCACCACGCCCAAACGGCGAACATGTGTCAATGGAGGTGCGTGATCGTGAGAGCTTAAATGGCGAGCGTCTGGACAAACCGGGCGGCAGTGGCATTAAACAGGAGCGCCCGCCTTCGCGTTCAGGCTCCAGTTCGTCGCGTTCCACACCCAGCCTCAAGACAAAAGATGTAAGGCAAATATTCAAAATGGTTAAGCAATTCTTAAGTTTTGAAATATTGATTGTTAATTAGGGGTAGACATTTCTATATCTCTAATCTGACCATTAAGCAAGGCTTATTAAATTAAAATTGAACTAACGTTTGAAATCAAACAACATTATTTATCGGGTCAGAGGGTGAAGAAAACGTTCTTAAATATCAAACTAATTGTATTTTTTTAAATTTATTTTTATTGATTATTAATAGATGGATAAACCGGGCACACCGGGCGCGAAGGCACGTACACCGACACCAAACGCTGCAGCACCATCTCAGGGCGCAAATCCTAAACAAATGATGCAACAAGGTGGCCCACCGCCGGCTGGCTATCCAGCGTCACCGTATCAGCGACCGGCGGATCCCTATCAGCGTCCACCATCGGATCCCGCCTATGGACGACCGCCGTTGCCGTACGATCCGCATGCGCATGTACGAACAAACGGCATTCCACATCCCTCGGCACTGACGGGTGGAAAGCCGTAAGTGCACCATAAATGATATCCGTTTAAAAATTAGCACTTACATTTATTTTCTTTGGGAATAGTGCATACTCTTTCCATATGAACGGCGAGGGTAGCTTGCAGCCGGTGCCATTTCCGCCGGACGCGCTGGTAGGCGTTGGCATACCAAGACATGCGCGACAAATAAATACGTTATCGCATGGCGAGGTCGTCTGTGCGGTGACTATTTCAAATCCTACAAAATACGTTTATACTGGCGGCAAGGGCTGCGTCAAGGTGTGGGACATCTCACAGCCGGGCAATAAGAATCCCGTCAGCCAGCTGGATTGCCTGCAGCGCGATAATTATATACGATCGGTGAAACTGCTGCCGGATGGACGCACACTCATTGTAGGTGGCGAGGCATCGAATCTGTCGATATGGGATTTGGCCAGTCCAACGCCACGCATCAAGGCCGAGCTAACCTCAGCGGCGCCTGCCTGTTATGCGCTCGCCATCAGTCCCGATTCGAAGGTGTGCTTCTCGTGCTGCAGCGATGGCAACATCGCTGTCTGGGATCTGCACAATGAGATACTGGTACGTCAGTTCCAGGGTCACACGGACGGTGCCTCGTGCATTGACATCAGTCCGGATGGCTCAAGATTATGGACTGGCGGCCTGGACAATACAGTGCGCTCGTGGGACCTACGCGAAGGTCGCCAGCTGCAGCAGCACGATTTCAGTTCTCAAATATTCTCGCTTGGCTACTGTCCCACAGGTTAGTATGCACCTCATTTATGCTCATAAAACATATACTAATTATGTTTCCTTCTTTTGCAAAAGGTGACTGGCTGGCCGTGGGCATGGAGAATTCACATGTGGAAGTATTGCATGCATCGAAACCAGACAAGTATCAGCTGCATTTGCACGAGAGCTGCGTTCTGTCGTTGCGGTTTGCCACCTGTGGCAAATGGTTCGTTTCCACCGGCAAAGACAACCTGCTTAACGCATGGCGAACACCATACGGTGCCAGTATATTCCAGGTGAGGCAAATACCCTTGATCTAAAATAATCTATACACCCTATGTCCCATACCAAATAAGCAAATGCAGGGTCAACTATATAGTTAAATTGATTTGTCCGTGTGAAAGCTGCTATGCTTTCTTTACTATAATAATTGATATCAATTAGGCTGATACATAAACATATATAGAAACCAAAAGTCAACTAATTTTAGGTTTAAATTCAACGATTCCAATAGAGGAAACATTGCAACTTAAAAATTTTTGCTATAATTCCTAATATGTTGTGTCTTTAAAAACCTACATACATATATTTCATAGAAGAAGCAAAACAATAACAAAATAAAACAATTTTTAATACTGTAGCCACTTAGAAATGTTTGAAACTGATACAATAGATACACCCAGATTAAAAGTGCTTTAAAATGTTAAAAGAGACAATTAATAAAAGAAAAAATAAGAAATATAAAAATTCAACTGGAAGGTAAATATATTTTAAAAGTTATCTCCTATAATTAAAAAGTCATTCACACTTGACAAAAAACTAATTGGCACATCTGTCTATATATATGTATATTATTAATCAATTTGTATTTGCTAATTGTTTATTTTTGTTGTTTATATTGCTTGCAGTCGAAGGAAACATCATCCGTACTTAGCTGCGACATATCAACTGACGACAAATATATTGTGACGGGTTCGGGCGATAAAAAGGCTACTGTCTATGAAGTTATTTATTAAAAAAAAAAAAAAAAAAGAAGAACACCAGAGAGGGAATCCACACTTTTCATTTTGTAATAATCGCATATAGGTTTTTATTACAACTACAAAAAATAATAAAAATGAATAACACATTGTTCAATAGCATGCTTATAACAACAAGCAAACAAACAAACAACAACAACAGCAACAACAAAGCAGTGGCAGCAGTACAATGCATGAGAGCGAAGTAAAAATTCTATAATATAAATAAAACAAAACAAAAAGAAAGAAAAATAAAAAAAAATTAAGCGTACTTGTAGCTACTAAGCCTAGGCTAAGTCCAATAAAAAGTTGAACACAAATTGCAAAGTAAAAACCTAAAATAATAATAATAATGAGAAATACAGAGCAGAAAACTAAAAAAAAAGTAATAACAGTCGGCGTTACCTACTACGCTCATCAAAAGAATTAAATGCTGGGTCCTTTTCAATTGTGGACCCAGCATGGATTAGTCATTGCTGGAGCGTTGAGATTATGCATACCAGATGAGAACACGATGTCAGAAATGTGAGTGCTTTTAGTTTGTCTATGTGTTTATATGTATGTCGGCAGCGAAGTTTTTTGTGAACAAAATCGAACGTAAATTAATAATTGCGAATGCAAAACAAAATTATAAGTTTTTAATTTGTCAATTTGTTTAAATTAGTGACTGCTACCCTGCTACCACAGTGTACTGTACCAACCCACACTTCACTTCCTCTTCGCACACGAAACACATTTGCATGCAGAAAAAGTATATATATATAAATATAAATGAATATAATTAGTAAGCAGTTTAGTTAAGAATTTTACATTATAAATAAACACAACAATAACAACAAAACGAAGCAGGCGCCGCCGCAACAGCACTTCCACACACACACACACACACACACACCCCCACACTTCGCACACACATCAATAGCCGGGGGCGCCAAAGCGGCCAGCTTTTGCTTGTATGTAATTTTGAAAAAACATAAATAAATCCTTTGTCAAAATCCCAACATTTGTAAAATCCTGTTTTGTGCAGCTAAAAAAAGAAAACAGAAAACAAAAACAAAAAAATAATAATTAAACAAGCAAATAATAAAAAAGGAACTTGTTTACACATTAGTTTATATAGAAATGAATCGGATATATATATATATATATATATATAAATATATATTATATAGAATTGTGGGCACATCTCGCGCCCAGCGAAAATTGTAATAAGCAAAACAGAGAATATAGTGCAGCACACGCTTCGATTTTTAATTTTACAAATATTATTATTATTGTGGTTATATATGTATATAATTATATTATAAATAATTGAAGCAAAACGAAAAAGAAAAATAAAAAATTATATATGTAATCAAAGGTAAATTTAAACTACTCTTTAAAAGACATCGGTCGTATAGACGCTGCGCTGACGCGGCACTGGAGCCCCGTGCTGGCGGGATAGCTTCGTGTGCAGCTCCCGTAGTGTCTCACACTGGCGACCCGATGTCTTGCGGAACTTATCAATGGCAATGGGCAGCAAATTGTCCACCAGAAAGATTTTGTTCTTTATAACAAAGTTGGGCTATGAATTAAGATATTAGTTATTACAAAGTATTAAACTGATAGTTTGTTAACCTACATCCATGGCCATGTCGCTAGGAGGCTTTAATGCGTGTTGTGCCAAAAAGAGATCACGCAGCAACTTCTCCAGACTCGGCAGCAGTGTTTCGCCTTTGGCCAGGCAGCCACAGTGCTCGGTCAGCTGGAGGAATTGTCGTATAAAAACGAGAGTGGACTGTGTTAAATTCAGCCATGTATCGCCTGTGGTCTGGGACCGCACATCAATGCCAAGCGCATCCAACTCTAGCAGCAATCGCTTTAAATTTGATTTCGTTTGCAAATTATACGGCTGCCAGCTTTCCTCGGTGCGACCTACCGCGTCCAACAGGCGCTGCTTGCACTCTTCAATAAGTGACTCCAGCGTTGTGCGCAACAGGCCCTCTAAATGGTAACTTATGTCCAAACCAATCTCTGTAAGCTTCGTGGCAGGCTTGCGCACGCGCTCTACACACTTGGCCACTGCCTCCAGTGAGGTGCCCTTGGTTAGATAGTGTTTGATCAGCTGGCTCGCAAAGTACTGCAGCTCCGCATTGCACCAGACAACGAGAGCTATAAAAAAGTAAGCATTAGTTAAATATAGGATGTACTCTATCCTAATGGATTGTTATTTACCGCTAACGCACGCAGGCTGCTGTTCAAAGGCGCTGAGAAAATCACATGCTACCTGAGTCAGGTCGCAAAAGAAAAGCTCCGAGATTTCTGCATTATTGCGACGTGCTTCGCGTTGCGCCACACGCAGACTAACCGTGCATACCTTCAGCAATGTGGCACTGGCCTGTCGGGAACGACCCATTTCGACGAGAATCTTCAGGGGGCGGCGGGCTGAGCGCAGTGCAATTTGTAAATTGCGATTGTGACTGTTGGACAGCTCCTGGAGCAGCACATTGGTGAGCTTTTGCTCCTGCTGCTTAACCTTAGCCTCAATGTTGTCCGCCTGGAGCAGCTTCTTTTTGTTTTCGGCCAGGCGCAGAAACTCCTGCGTGCGCTTAATCAGCGACTGTGCGTCCTCGAAATGGCGTTGCGCCACAAGCGTTTGGATTTCCTCGCTGGCCGTGCTTAGCCATTCGGGCGTTTGATCTTCCAGGGATTTTGGCTGCCTTTCTGTAGGACTTTCTTCGGGCAGCTTTTCGGGCGTGGCGCTTTTCGATTGGGACTGCTGCTGCTTGGCGCGATTTGGTGGCTGCGGTGCTTGTCCCTTCTTTGATTTCTTTTGCTGATCAAAACGAAAGGCTTCTTCCAATTTCTCAATCCATTCGCTCTTGCCGGCAGCTGTTATGCTCTGATATATCTTGGAGCCATCAGGCGTTATGATGTTAATGGCATTCTTGACGCCATCCAGATCCTTGATATTAATAACGGCTATCTTTTTGGGATCGTATTCCGTAAGAAACTCGAGGCGTCTGGAAAAAATATGTTATAAATATTATATCAGAGGTGTTAGGGATTATATATTATGCAGACATACTTATCATGCTTCACTTTGCACACGATGAGCACATCGTTGAACAGAAAAAAGAAGACACGCTGTATGGGCCGGTAGTCATTACCATCCAGTTCGATGAGGGCGCCTTCGTTTAGGAATGTTTTTCCCTCGAGATTTCCATTAAAACCCTGCACCATTTCCTTAACAGCGCGTGTGGCATGACTGTTCTCCACGTCCTCAGTGGCTGCACTGTTCTCCACCTCGATACTGTCCGCTTTAAGGTGACTGCTCGCCTTGCCATCGGTCATGCTGGCCAAAATGTTGCGTTGCTCGATGAGTATATGCGACAGCTGATACATCTCCGACTCCAGATCTGTGAATATGTTTGAAATTAGCTCATGAAAGACGGAAATAGCATTTATTTATTTTACGTGATATCTCCTTGGCGGTTTGTATGAACTGCATATAGTTCTTTTTGCAGGTTTGTTTGAGCGTTGCCGACGTCTGCTCATTGTAGGCCTCAATTTCCTTTTTACGCTGCTGCAAATCGCTGCCGCCCACACATTCCCGTGTCAGCTCCTTGGTGTCTATGTAAGGGAAAAGAAAGTGCTTAAAGCAGATCAGGCTATACAACAGGAGCACCTACATTTATCCACGCTAAAATGAATATCATCGAACTCCTTCATTGTCGAGCAAAAAATTAAACGCAAGACTCGAAAAATTTAGCGTCTGTTGCTGTTGTGGGCAGAACTATGCATACGTTACGTAGGCGAAAAGTCAACGTAAACATAACATTTATACGTAGTGTGGTGTAATGCGTAGTATGGTGCTCACATGTTCTGCAAAGTCCAAGCAAAAAAAAACAATACAACACAATTTTTGAATGCATCAAGATTTTACTAGCAAACTATGTATTAAAGTGGAGTGTTGAATTTATTTGTTTGAATAACAATCAATGAGATTGTGCTTGAGTTCAATTATAATATTATTACAACAATCCGCCTCCAATTGTCATACGAAATTATAAAGTTGATTGGCATACGAAATTTTTTTTACAACTAATATATAAGAAGGCACAATAAACACAGTTTTATTTCAATTTTATTAAAAACAAAAGTTACTTTGCTGACAGAAATTATGCTTTGTTTACCACGCTTTAACTGTTAACTGTGGGAGTTTTCTGTTAAATCTACAAGAACGGCTGTTAAAAAACTTTGTGGCAACGCTACTCCACAATTGTTTTGATGAGTAATTCGCAAGACTTTTATTTCTACACAGTTCTTAAGTCGTAAATAGTTATTAATTTCGTAAAATGGATTGGCTTTTTGGCAAAAAGATCTCACCGGATGAGATGCTGCGTAAGAATCAGCGTGCTTTGAATAAGGCAATGCGTGATTTGGACCGAGAACGGATGAAAATGGATCAACAAGAGAAGAAAATCATTGCCGACATCAAGAAAATGGCCAAAGAGGGTCAAATGGATGCGGTCAAGATCATGGCCAAGGATCTAGTGCGCACGCGTCGATATTCCAAGAAGTTTATGCTCATGAAGGCAAACATTCAAGCGGTCTCGCTAAAAATACAAACGCTCAAATCTCAAAACACAATGGCCCAAGCAATGAAAGGTGTGGGAGGGTTTGCCCATGGGTGATTCACATTTTACTCATGCGTCGCTATACTTGTAGGTGTCACCAAGGCCATGCAGAATATGAATCGACAACTGAATCTCCCTCAAATACAAAAGATACTTCAGGACTTCGAGAAGCAGTCGGAGATGATGGACATGAAGGAGGAGATGATCAACGACGCCATCGATGATGCAATGGAGGATGAGGGCGATGAGGAAGAAACCGATGCCGTTGTCTCTCAAGTGCTAGACGAACTGGGCCTGCAGCTAGGCGAACAATTGGGCGATCTGCCCACTGCCTCCGGCTCTCTGTCGATAGCAGGTGGTGCGGGTGCGCAGAAAGCAGCTTCGGCTGTCGCTGCAGGTGGTGCCGGCGGCGGACCTGCTACTGCTGGTGCCGGTGCAAGTGCTGCTGCGACTGGCGGCAGCGGTGGTTCTACACCCATGTCCGATGCGGACGCAGACTTGCAGGCGCGCCTGGACAAGCTGCGCAAGGACTAGTTAAGCACCGCTATCACCTGCCGTTTTATATACTAGCCCGCTGTTGTTTTTAAGTAACGTAAAATGTTATTATCTTTAATATGCCCATATTCCCTCACGCAAAAATCGTATCGCAACTGTGTAAACTTTATGATAACAAGCGTAAATATATATTTAAGTAAGGGGGGGAGAGATAAAATTAAGATTAGACACACATAAGGAAACACACATAATTGAATCTAGAACGTGAACTAAGTAAGTGGGTAATTTCATTGGAAGCCGTTGGCCACAAACACTCGCTCTACATCCTGGAACACCTTGTCCGCATCGGGACTGGCATCAATGGTCTTCACCTGGCCGACACTCTCGAAGTATTTAATGATGGGTAACGAGTCGTTGTTATAAGTTTGAATGCGTTTCTTCAGACTGTCCATGTTGTCGTCGGTACGACCGGATCCGCTCTGACCGCGGCCCAGACAGCGCTGTACACACACATCCTCAGCGCAGTCAAAGAACAGCACGAACTGCAAGTCCGTCTTACCGGACATTTGACGATTCCAGCCGTCCAGATTATCCTGGTTGCGTGGGAAGCCATCGATGAGAAACCGCGATTTGCCCGAGTTTTTCATCGCATTTTCCAGCAGCGAACACGTGACCTCAACGGGCACAATTTTGCCATTACGTATGTAATCCTCAATTAGCTGGCCAAACTCGGATCCCTCGCGTGCACGCTCCTCACGCAATAAATCGCCAGCCGACAAATGCGTAAACTGAAAACGTTCAACGATTTTCGAGCATTGCGTGCCCTTGCCAGCACCGGGGCCACCTAATACGAAAACAACCTTTGGCTTCGCAGTGGACATTCCGTGTTTTAGTCTTGTGAGCAACGCTTGGTTGTGTAAGTGGAGGTAATTAGTTTTGCGTATGTTGTTGTACAGCTGGGAATGTTGGAATTGCTGAGGTAGCACTGCGCCTCCTTGACCAAGGGACTCAAGTGTTTTTGCTATACGCGTAAAAGCGCGCCACATTGACAACTGAGACGAATCGTGGCGTGTATACCTAAGAAATTCCAATGGAAACTTATGTTGTGACGTCACCACTAAGCCGCCAGCTGTTACCGATGAAGCAGCAACAATGCGCGTATAACAACACTGGCTACGAATTGAGCGCGAAAAAATGTGTATCAATTTTAAATGCATTTCAAATATAATTTAGTATATTCATTTATATAAAAATATTTAAATAAGTTGCGCTTGGTTTTTTTGTACTAAGTCAGCCACCAGTTGATACGGTATAATATGTTGTGAGCCTGGCGTAAGATCCACTTCCTCGTCATCAACGCCCACGATAACGCCAGACACTAAAAGCAAATATATTTGTTATAATTAAAACTTAAATTATATATTATATGCATAGGCTTAACGCACCTGCCACGTTCGCTTTGAGAAAAACATGGCTCATGAGATTAGGCGCGACAATTCGTTGATCGGCTTCGCCTCGCTGCTGGTTGGGCATATACCGTGTGGCCACCTTGGTGAAGTATTCGTCCACATGCGTGGCAAAATCCTGAGCATATTTGGCCTCCTCTGACGATAGACGCTTGTCAGCCGCATCACGTGACTCATCCTGGTTGATGATGTGCTGGGTAAAGGCTTCGATTTTTTGCAAGCGACATCGTAAATAACTGGCCATGATATACCGTATGCGCTCCAGTTCCATTTGATGCACCACAAAGCGAAAATCATTCTTGTCCAGATCCTTCATTTGCTCTTCCATGTGCGCCACCTGCGAGAGCATTAGCTCCAGCATGTCCGTCTGATGTTGCAGCAATTCCGGGGCACACATTTCATTTGTCCAAGCTGTTTCGAGTATTTCTAGTACCTGTGCGTAAATGCAACAAGTGACGACAGAGTTTATATGCAAGGTAATCGCCTCACCTTTTGAGCGGTAATTGGTTCCGCATCCTCCTCTTCATCATCATCTTCATTGGCATTTTCTAAGGCAGCTTCCGTGCTCAAGTCATGCTCATTTAAAGCTTGCTCCAGATTTTCGCTGTCAGACATAATTTCTGGTTTGCAGTTAATGGCGCGTCGGCATGTAAACAAAAGGCACAGCTGTCGACGTGCATATTTACATGTGAGTGTCAAGGGATTGTTAACAATTGCACAACACTGGCATAGCACACGATGGCAGCGACGACGACTCAAACCGAATTCCAAAAGAATTTTCGCTTAATTGTTGAAAGAATCTTTAACAATTGGCAAAATCTGCGCTTGGCAGTTGAGCATGGGATGGGCGGACGCAATGGCCAGCAGGTAGGAGCACATCGAATTCTATTCTCACACAATTTCTAACCTAACAATACCGCAGATGGCCATACAAATCATGGACTACACGTATGAGTACTGCGTGGGCAACGAGAATATAACGCAGGGTGAGCTGCAGGAGGTGATTGAAGAGCTGATGGATCAGGAATTTAATACGCTGTGCGACGATCACTCCATACCCGAAATATGCCGCAATCTGCTGCGTTACAAGCAAATGGCGCTGGCCTCCCAGTACCCACAGATTGAAACAGAGCTCAGCAAATTGCCGCAGGGCAAAGATTGGCTCCGACCCGATGTCAAAATAACATACACTCCCATAGAAGGGGACTCATCATCCGACGAGGACATGGACGACGATGAAGAGGATGCTGACGATGACATGAACGCTGCTGAGAGCGACGAGGAGGCGGCCGCAACAAGCAGCGGCCGTGTAACACGTTCCCAGACGCGCAAGCAGCAAACGGAATCGTTTGTGGAGCCAGAAGAAGGGTGGACGACAGTGCGTCGAAAGTAAACATAGGGAATTTACATTAAAAGTCAATTTGTTAGTTATAATATGTGGCGTTTACTTCTTGCAAGTCTAGAAATCTAAGTGGAGGTATAGGCGAGCGAGTCTTTGGCATGTGCTGCGTTTCGCACAGATTACACTGGATTGCTGGTAACGCATTCCGATGGGCCGTCGTTTCAGAGCGTTGACATTGCAGTTGTGACCAAGATGTGAACTGTGCGCCCTTAGGTAGTACTAGCTTAAGGTCGACAACCGACGCAATAGAATCGATATTAGGCGTCAGTGAGAGATTAATTGCCGGATAAATTATGACGGCAAAGAAGGCACACACCAGAATTAGGACTGGCACAAACACAGCAAAATACTTGTCCGGCAGATACGAATGCAGGCCCAGCTCCACGGGCAGGAAGGCCCACGCCACATATACAAAAAATAGTACGGTGAACAGTATATAAAATGCAAAACCGTAAATAGCTCTATGCGGTGTGGGCGCTGGACTGTGTTCCGGCATTGTTCTTTAGTTGCGTTTCGGTTTGATCTGCGCCAAACAATTTGATGGTATCCTGGCAGAGTAGCAGGCACTCAAAGAACGACGTTATGGCGGTGCGAAGATTTTTCACTTGATCGGCACTAAAGTGCACCACTAGCACATCGTCCTCCAGGCTCAGCGTTTTTTGAACAAAGTTTCTGCGTGGCTCCTGATCCACACTCAACACGCGATATGCTATCTTGGCATGCTCTGGCGTATCAAATGGCACTTTTATTGTGCTGTAAGTTTATAATGCTATGAAATCACGTTAACTATAAAAATAAGTTATTTATTATATACGTACGATTCATTCGGTTTACTGACATTCGCTTGCTGTGGCATCGTAATTTTTTAATGCTTAAAACAGCAGCAGCATTTGCACATGCTGTCCGTTAAAACGGTGAATGGCAATGATTAAACACTGACCAAGCCTGTCAGCTGTTTATTTAGCATAGACAAGAACCCTCACCCAACAACATATTACCAGCAAAAACTTCAAATTTTTCCAACTTGTATTTTCTTTATTACAAAATGCTTCCACGTCCAATTCTTAAGTCAATGAATATCCTATGCATATTTACTTCTTGGACTTTACAGCGCCCTTGGGTGCAGGCTTCTTGGATGCAGTTTTGATAGCTGATTTGCCACCGGTCTTGCCAGCGGGCTTCTTGGTAGCCGCCGCTTTGGTGGGCTTCTTCTCCACCTTCTTGACGGGCTTGACGAGCGCCTCGCGCTGGCTCTTCAGCGCCTTGACAATTTTCTGCTCCTCGATGAGGAAGGCACGCACAATACGCTCACGCAGGCAGCCGTGGCACAAGACACCGCCGTATGTGCGGGAAACGGTCTTGTGGCGCTTAGAAAGGCGTGGACGCTCGCTTGGGCGCGATGGGGTGATGCCCTTAAGCTTCTCTTTGCACTGGCCGCAGCGTGGCACAGTCTTGTTCTTTTTCACGTATTGGTAGACCAGCCGGCCACCGGGAGTGCGCACACTGTAAACAAGCGTCTGATTAGATTACACCAACAATACTATACGCTTTAAACTTACATGCGCCTCCTGTTGGATCTGGTGTTGTACGACAGGCGTCTCCTCAAAGTCAAGCGCTGGACCATATTGCGGCTGCTTCAATTTAAAATTTCGGTTTCAATTGGGATTTGAATAAGTCGGCACAATTAGGAAGTTCCGGTTAAACGAGCATAAAAATAGGGGGAAAAAACAATGCAATTTACATAAGTTAATTGTAACGTCGTAGAACGAATATTTGTCAAACATTGTGTATTGCAATTAGCAAAAATTTATTAGCCGTTTTGCGGATGTTCACAGATTATTTGACAAATTCACAAAAAGCAAGCTTTACATACTTGTAGTAAAAAACCAAAAGAGGGAAAGAAGAAGCAAATCAACGTGAAGTGGGCTGCTTGGCATGCAAAAAAGGTGTTGTTAAGTGACAATAGAAACAGCTTAGTATTTTTTGCACACTTTTTGAAAAGTGGTAACACTTTTGTTGCAACTGGTGAGCATATCAACCTATTTGTTTATGCGACATTTTTAAATTATTGTTAATTAAGTAAGACAGTGCATGTATTCTTGTATAAAATTCTAAAAACTCTCTTAGTTTGGATGAAGTCTTAACTTTCCTTGAGTATGTTTTGTATAAATTACTCTGGTCACACCATTTAGTATTTATATTGCCGTTCGCGGTCATACTTGGCCCACGCTTCTCCATTCCTCTCGCCGTTTCCTAGATCATAACCGGCAATAACAACCATAACAATGAGTTTCCTTAAGCCCAAAACACACATAGAGCAAGGCGATATTGTCATTCTCTATCTGAGCGTGAACTCCATGCACGCCATCGAAGCGGTGCCGACGATAGTAAACAAAAAAGGCGAAACCATTGCGAACATCTTCCAGACGCCGTACGGTTCACTTAAAGTACAAAGTAGGTGTTTTTTTAATACAATAACTACGTGTTGATAACTAATATCTACGTGTATCGCGGACAGGTATTATTGGCGTGGAGTATGGCAGTCGCGTGGAGCTGTCCAAAGGCTGGGCGCACGTGTTGCAGCCAAATCCGGAATTGTGGACGCAGACGCTGCCACATCGCACACAAATTATATACACGCCTGACATAAGCATGATACTTCATCAGCTGGAGGTACGTCCCGGCGCAGTGATTGTTGAGTCCGGCACCGGGTCCGGTTCTTTGTCGCACTATTTTCTGCGCGCGCTAAAGCCCACGGGCCGCCTACACACATTCGACTTTCATGAGGCGCGAGCGGATCAGGCGCGCGACGAGTTCACGCGACACGGACTCGGCGACTTTGTAACGGTCTATCACAGAGATGTTTGCAATTTGGGCTTCACCAGCGAGCTGGACGGTGCGGCTGATGCGGTGTTTTTGGATCTACCCGCGCCGGATTTGGCGGTGCCACATGCATTCAAGGCGTTGAAGTTGTCGGGTAAGTGAAACGCGACTGCCCAGTCAGCGCTTGACAACAAGTTGTCAGCGCCCTTTGGCGCGGCAGCCGACAGCGGCAACCGCAATCAAGACTTGGCTTGGTCAGTCAGTTGTCTCCCTCACTGTATTCATCTCCCCATCTCTTTCTCTCTGTCTGTCTGTCTTGGCCATTTCATTGTGTTTGACATTGAATGCGCCCGCTTTTGGCAGTTGACGTGGTCAGGCAGCCCGTTGGGCAGCTTTGTCATTCATTAGTGAAACCAACTGCGCGCTGCACCATTCCAGCCGTGATTTCTAAAGGAATGTCGGTATCGTATGGGTATATCGATGTTTGGAAACTCTAGTAAATGGTATAATAAGATAAAGGCATCGGGATGCAATATTTACATCAATTTCAAGCAATACTTAAATATGCTAGAGATTTTTATAGTGTTTTATAGCTAGTATAACTTATTATAAGTTTGTACTTAAATGTGGAACGCGTAGAAGGAGACCTGTTGTCAATAATCTAGATGATATAACTATGTCTCTAGATGTATCTAGATGATATAACTAGTCTTTTAATATTGAAGCTTTCGTAGTGCAACTTTGCATAGAGCCTCTTTTTGTTGTAGATAGTATATATGTCGGAACTTTTCGGATCTTCCATTAGAACCACCTGTTGATAATTCTTGTATGAACAACATTTTTTAAAAACAACTGGACCAAACGCCTTATTAATCATTCCCACTATTATCCTTATATGTGAATCAAATCTGTATGTCATGAATGGAATGTCAAGTGTTATAGAAAAAATCGGTCGAAAAATATGTTGTTGTAATGGGCTTTTAATCTTCAGCGTACAGAAAAGGCATTACATTCCCCTCTGCTTTTACACACAGAAATAACATTTATCTTCGGGGTGTCGAAGATATAATTATTTTGGAGAAAAGTAGCAGGTTTATGATATATGTACAGCCTGTAACAAAAAGACGAATCTATGTTAGGTTTTATTAGGATAGCTTTAAAACATGGGATGAATCTTCTATCTGGTTTATTGGCTCATATAGTACATATATCTTCATTATAATTTCAGGCGGTCGCTTTTGTTCGTTCTCACCGTGCATAGAACAGTCGCAGCGTTGTATAAATGTGCTCACCAAGCTGGGCTTCAACGAGATTTGCTCCATGGAGGTGCTGCAGCAGGAGAGTGTGATCAAAACCCGTTCACTGCCAGTCATTGATTTGGAATTTCTCAAAGCACCTAAAAGCGCAGAGAGAAATCCAAATGACGACATTAAATCAAAGGAACCCAAGGAGCTGAAAAAGTATTTAACCTCCAGTAATCCTCAAGTGCTGCCTGGTCATACGGGCTTTCTCACCTTTGCCACCCTGCCGCCCAACATACCCAAAGTTTAAATGTCGTTTGTTTAATAAATTTGTAGTTCTTTTTATTTGCCTGCTGCATTGTTATTCATAGTCAAAAGAGTAATCCCCGAAGAGTTTACGCTCCATGCTCTTGACGCCTCCGCAGTGATAGCAGCGCTGTTGCTGCTTCTGTTGCTTGCGGCTCGAGGATTCGCGCGGCATCGCCCAAGGCAGCCGTTGCTCCGGTATGGCCACCTGAGTGCGCTCCGGATTGCCGCTGCACGTGGGACAGCGGCTTACAACGGACGGCTTAGGCAGCATGCCATAGAGCACGGGACCAGGTGGTTGCACGCCGTAAATGGTGACAATCTGTGGCAAGCTGGAGTAAGGGCGTGTCGGAAACAGCTTCTCCCGGTTGAGAAAACTATGGCAAGTGGGGAAACTGTTAGTAAAATAGATTTGTTTTGGCTTTTCTTCTTCTTTTTATATACTTGGGTCTCGGTTGCAGCCACAGGTTATTCATGCGCTTGCTGCTCATGATGTCGCCCAACTTCTGCAGTAGACGTAGATTTTCACGTTCGATTTGCTGCTGGCGCTCCCGTTCGTTCTGCTGCTTCTTCCACTTGCGCTGCACATGATCGTGCTGGCGCGGTGACTTGGTATCAATCGCTGGACGTGCGGACATCACTTTCTCGCGATGCTGTGCATAGCGCAGCTGCTCCCAGGGCTGCTGCAGCAATTTGTCGCGTCTCGAGATCATTGTCTGCCGTTGTTGCAACTGAAATGGAGCTGCTGACGCTCGGATTAGGGGGGTGCTTTTGTTTTTTTTTGTGTATCGGCCGGCATGTTTACAGGCACAAACAAGCATTGGTGCGTCCATAACAACCTTGCCAGGACAACGCGCGCACTCGTCGTCGTCAGCCACTCTACAAATATTGCACAATCATGCTCGCAGATTAAGTTCAACGTCGGCGGCGGCGGCTTTGCTCAGCTGTCCCGCCTGTCTATCCAAACAGTGACATCCCCAGACTTGACTTGCAAATTTGCGGTCCAAGCGGCTGTGTTACATAATTCTCAATGCATGGGGTTCTGGTTCTGCTCTATTCTATTCCTGCTGCTGCTGCTTGTTAGTATGCCGGCGGCCCGGTTACCGGATCCCAATTTCTGTGTAGTAGCCGCTTCACTTGGTGTGGCGGCAAAATGTTCTTTCTTCTTTCAGCTTTTTCAACTGTGGCTGCTGCTGCTGCAGTTGCTGCCTGTTGCTCATATGTCAACTGGCAACTCAGCTGCTGCCGTTCTAAACTCTTGTTTAGTGTTTGATTGATGCTAAGTGCTTGTGCCTAGCTCATATTTAAGTACTTAATGCTCATACCAAGTTTTCAATAATTTCCCATTAAACATTATTTGGTAAGGTTCTTAAAGGAGTTTCATAACCAAAATCATAAATTTTAGAATACTTTTTTTTTCAAGTATCTGCCGATTTATTTCTTGTAAACAAATACTTCGTGAAGAACGAAAACTTTGACTTTTGACAGTACGTCATACAAGAAACTTGGCTTCTCTCAGGAACTTTCTTAAACGTAACTGAAGAACAGTCAGAGCTTATTGGAAATTTATATTGAAAATGTGCTGTTATTATTTGTAAATGTATATTTATATTTTTTTTGTTTTAATGATTTTCTTCACCTTTCTCACACTTGTTGTTTGTTAAATATAAATATACATAATTTCGATTTATACCAGATGGTTTGAATTTGGAGAAAAAATCTATGGACCAGCATGTTAACTTTTCAAGTGAGCTTTGGAAATTATTTGATGTATCCACACAAAAAAGAATATAATACTTTAATTATTATTGCCAAATGCACCTATAGCTCATTGTATTTATGCAGATAATCTTAAAATGTTAAATTCACACGATTTTTCTGAACGAATCATTACAGGCCCTTTAGTACTTCTTATTGTTGTCAAACAAAATTGTTAAGATTTCTTGGTAATATGATTTGCTATATGTAGTTATGTTTTGTTAAAGCTAAATTTTTGTGAGTTTATGTCTATTCTATATAATATTCCTGTCAAAGGTCTCAGCAATTGTTCTGCTTTGAGTTTATTAGCCCCCTGTTGGGGCGTCTTACAAATGCGTCTATTGTTTTTGTCTGCGTCCATGTTGCAGCTACATTGCGTGCTGTTGTTGTTGCTGCTGTTGTTGTTGTTACCAACAAGTTGCTGGCTAACTGGGCAACAGTTTGTTGCTGTTGTTGCCATTGGGCGTGAGTTTGCACTATTATCAAATTAAAAGCAACGCCGCTTATTGGTCAGTTAATTGGAAGATCTGTAATTTGATACTGGTAACGTGTTGCTTATCACAGCTCTCTTTGTAGTGCCTTGTTGTTGTATTTGTATTTGTACAATTATCTTGTTAGCTGATCGACAACTGTAACGGATTGCCATTCAGCTATGCCCATACCACAAATACCCACAACCATGACCACTATGACGACGACTACTAGACATCGATTCCACTCTCGGCCTAACTCAGCATTTATGTATTTTCCATTGCTATCGGGCAGCGTTTGACTCGTCACAACTAAACACCTGCTTATTTGCGCATAAATTTCCGATAGAAATGCTCATATTTATTGAAAATACTTGTATTTATAAAATGGCATATAATTGCGCTGTTGTCTTTGTTGTTGTTGTTGTTGTTGCTGCGGTGTGTTTGTGTGTGAGTGTGTGTATGTGTGTTAGGGGGGCGCAGCGCTGCCCGCGAGCAATGTGGCCAGTTTCTCACCTTTAGAAGCCGACCAGCAGTCGCAGATGGCGAGCCAAAACAAAAAAAATAAAAATTATGATGCCAGAGGTTGACTCTGCTCATGGGTTGGTCACAATGAAACCTTGAATGTACTACAAATCTCAGAAGAGAATTTTGATATGTACAACCTTTAAATATTATATATTTAAATCGTTAATGCAACAGCTTTTAAAGTTGACCTGTAGAGAACTGAACGACTTTGAGTCAGCTCCGAAACACTTAATTGTTATTTATTATGATTAACAAGTTATCACAAGGTAAGAGCCTAAGACACATTTTAAAGAATTGGCAAATATTTGTTAATCAATTGAATAACGCCAAAATGATACCGCAATATTCGCAATCGTCATTTTGGGAGAGATGACAAGGTGTTTAAGCAATTGATAATGCCCAATTATTGTAGTGTGCGCGAGCTAAGTTTTGTGTTAGTACTCGCATATCATATACAAAGTGCATACAATAACAGGCCTGTCCATTTATTACAATATGCGCCGGCAACGCCAGGCAACAACAGCAACAGTCGAAAACTGCGATTTGCTGTCAGCTAATAATAATAATTTCGATATTGAAAATACGTTTTCTTAGTTAGGTACGACACTAAACGATTTCGCCCATTCGGAGCGTTCGAGCGGACAGTGCTAAAAGTCAGGCAAGCACTGCGAGCAATAACAACAGCAACACTTGCAACAGGGCAACGTGCAACGGGCAATACCAACAGGCAACAGAATCGGGCAACGGGCAATGGGCACAAAGTTGACCGTTGGTGGGGGCGGTGCTATTTGCTGCTGCTTCTTCTTCAAGCGTTTTGCAGACAGGTGGTGTGTGGTGTCGATGTTGCTGGGTCGCGCTCGCCTGGTGTTCAATATGAGCCACAATTGAGGCATTTAATCGAGCATCTCTTAACACGCCTTGGAATGTTGACTTATTATTGGCCATGCAGCCAAATGCTGCAGTTGCCGTTGCCGTTGCCGTCGCCGTTGTTGGCTGTTGCCGCTGTTGCCGCTTGTTGCCGCCGTTGCCAGTTGCCAGTTGCCAGTCGATCGCTCTCTCTCCGGTTACGGTTCGAGCTTGCATTGGTGTGGGCATCGGTTGTGTCTGCGTCGGTGTCAGAAGTCTGTAGTTACCTCACAGTAAAAGCGTTTATCATCATTAGACTCAATCTAAAGACGTTTTGGCTGGGGTTATCATGTTGATTATGTTGTGTGAAAACAAATTACATTTTGCGCTCAGGCTTTAACACCATTTGTATGCGCCAATGTTGTCGTTGTTGCTGTCAGTATGGTGCTGCTAATGCTGCTGCTGCTGCTGACTCTGCTGCTGGCTAATTGTGAATCTGCTCGAAAGATTCAATTGTGCCATTGACAAACCAATTGGTTGCTCAATTTTGTGAAAGGCTTTTACCCGCTCTCTGGGCCGTGAGAAAATTGCAAATCAAAAATATTTCTGCTATTGGCAATAATTGCTTGCAAAAATTGTGCTGGCAACAACAAAAGCAAAAACAACCCCAACAAAATATAAGAAAGAACTTGGCAATAATTTAGCTTTTCGAGCTTGTCTAAGACACAGCTGTGTTCTATATTGTTGTTGTTGTTGTTGTTGTTGCTGCAGCTGCAGGCCTGCCACTTGCAACAGCAGCAACAACAGCAAAGTCAAAGCCTGGCCCTGACCGTCTGATAACACTAAGCTACAAACAATGTATTAAAATACATATTGCTAAAATTGATATGCTTGCATAGTTCCCATATAAATTTAGATATTTAAATATGTTACTTATTTTGGTTTTGAATATTTGTATACAATTTGCTTAGTTCAACCAGACTGGCAACATTTAGTTAAATACTTTCCACTATATCTGAAATAGTTATTAACATGTTGAGGTAATTTTTACTTTTCATTCGTTTATTCAATTTAAAATCTTTCCACATGGTTGCGCAGTGTATTTCATTGTCGTGGCTTGGAAAACTAAAAGCGAACTTGATTTCGCCCAGCCAATAAATATTTTTATGCACTTTTAAATTGTAATGTTTGTTGTCGCTGTTGTTGTTGTTGTTACTGCTACGATAACGTTTTTAGATTTGTGCCACACACAAAATCACACACACACACACAGGCTGTTAACTACTTATCGAGGGTCAATGTCACACCTTGACGCCTTCGCCAACATACTTTTGCTGACTTTTTGTCACAATTTATTACATTTGGCTATATCTTGAGTGTGTGTATGTGTGAGCGCACACTGTGTGTTGTTTTCTTGGCTTTAAATGTTTGCCATTTTATCTTGTCAACGCAATCGTCTATTAGTTTTTCTTTTTTAATTAATTAACACTGTTCGCATGGGTGTCAATGGCGAAAATGGCTTGGCACAGTTGGTTGGCCCAGGCTTATTTGCTTCCAATTTTTAATGGCTTTGTGGCTTATTGTTGCTGCAAGCTTTGTTTTGTGGTGAGCAGTCATGTGCATTCTTTTAAAAAAAGAGGCCAAAGTCGGTTTTTTTTTATCCCCAAATAAAAAGCATAGAGATAAAGAAATACAGACAACCCTTATTTTAAATAGATATACCAATCGAAAGTTACCATTTGATAATAAAAGTAAGTACTGGACTATCACAGGAGGACTTATAAGCAGCAATTCGTGTAGTAGTTCATTCATCTGGCAGCTAAACTAAGGAAAAACTCAAATAAATTGATTCTATGGAAAAATAGTATAAAATGCGATTTCCTCGACAAGCAAAGATTTTCAGTAAACTTCTTCGACTTGAATTCTTGTGTATGCTCTTAAAAATGTATTTTCCTGTATTGAATGAACTTATTTACAAATTTATTCCCTAACCAAAAGACAAATGACAATCTTTAATCTAAAACGCACTTTAAATATTGCTTGCTTTCTTTACCAGGAAAATTATAGCTCAAGCAGCAAGTGGGCAAGTCCCAACATAATATATCAAGATA